TCATCCCAACAACCAATCTCTTAGGTTGGGAATGTTTCTCTCTATCGCTAGCTCTCTTAGGCATTAACGCAAACACCTTCTAGGTTACTAGCCTAGATTCGCGACTTCAAGTGATCAAGAAGAAGCCGAGATATAAAGCTCTAGCTAAAGAAAAGCTGGTCAAGGGAGATTAAGGAAGAGGTTAACAGGAAGCTAAAGCTCTGACCTTTCCTAATCTCACCCTCGAAACCTCTAAAGAACTACTCGCTACTCATACTCGAACCGAAAGCAAAGAGGTAAAGAAAGCTAGAAATCATCATTAAGACAAGATTAGCAAACTAAGTACTTCTTAAACTTAAAAGATTCAAAGTAAAAGCTTACAAAAGATCTCCAAGAACAAACTGTTTTTCTTGGAGAGAAACTGGTTACAAGATAAAGATTGCCTAAAAAATTAGGTCTTAAAGGTTTATATAGGAAGGGAAAAGTGTATCCTTTGGTCAACGTTTTTGCTTTGACTTCACAGATGCGCGCAGCTTGAGCAACTTCCTCAAGCACTCTGTTTCCTTTTGCTCAAGGCTCTGTTCCGTCTGCTTGTTTTGCCATCCGATTACTCCGATCTCCTTCTGGTCCATCTCCGATCATCACCTCCGGTCCTCCTTCGCCATAAGCTCCGAATACCTGATAAATGCACCCCAAATGCAATGGAAATGCAAAATGCTATCCTAAAGCTAAATGATCCTAAGTAGACTAAAGCTACACTAAATGTTATGAAATGAGACTCAATTATACACAGAACTATGCAGTATGAGAGGCTAAATGCATGCAATGTTGAGTACATCAACACCCCCACACTTAGTCTTTGCTTGCCCTCAAGCAAACATCAACCAAGCATAAGAGTGTTCTCTGAGCAATAGAGTCAAGTGAAAGCCGAGAAGAGAATTGAATCAACAACCTAGTTCCAAGGTCTAAAGCGCAAAGGATGTTCTCTACTTCAAAAATCTTAGCCGCACCTTCATAATACAATCAATGACAACCAGCTCAACCTAAACATGCATTCAAATCCTCTACTCCTTTTAACATTCATTAAGGCTCAAAACAGTGAATCAAAACACATGCAAGTCAAGTTAACTCGTTTGGCCATTGGAAAGAGAGAGAGTGATATACCTCTAATTTACCCACTTTTTATACTGTTTTAGCATTGTTTTCTAATGGTTTTTGGCAGGTTTTCTATCTAAAAAGGTAGTTTTACTGTGTTTATAGTGTCTAGAGTCTAAACAGGTGAAATGATGCATTTTGGAGCAAAACCATAGGATTTGCACTTCAAGCAGCTCCATGCACAAGCACCAACTTTAAGAGGGCCCAGAAAAAGATCTACTCAATGGATTTCATCAAGACCAGTTCCCTGCGTGCTCTGATTGAGTTAACTTTCCAACGCAACTGGAATGGCCTAATTTGGATGAGTAGAAAAGGAGTTACAACCAAAAGAGTGAAGACTGTCCAGACGGCTCTATCGAGAATCAGCGCCCAACCGCGCAGTCCGGCTGGCCGAGGAACGAATGTTCCGCGCTCGGCCAAATCTCGTCCGTCCGTCTGAAGTCTCGGCCAAAGTCCAAACCGTCGGCCGCACGCAATCACGACCCGGGAAACATTGCCCGCGGTCGGCCACGCCACGCCACGACCGCGCACGACCAAACCGCGCGAGCCGGGAGAACGCCTCGCGGCCGCGCAACTTCACTCCGCGTACCACGGCCGATGCATCCGTCCGAGCCGGGAAACTACGTCCCGCGTCCGGCCAAGATTTCATCGGCCAATTCACCCGTCCGACCACAGCGGCCGACCACGCATCCGTCCGACCCCGACCGTTCCGACTCGGCCACATACCCGATTGTCCGGCCGATCGTCCCGACCGACCGTCCCAACGCCGCGGTCGACCCGAAGCCCTTTTGAAGCCCAAACTTATGTTTTCAAGCCCGGCTTAACCCTAAGCCGCCTCTAAAAGACCTAGCACTATATATATGGATTTTTAGCCTCTTGAGAAAGAGAGCCGCCCTGTATTTCGATTTCCTACTCTAAGTTTTATTGCAATCATGTTTTCTTCATCTCTATGTGTGTTTGCTTTGATCATGTCTGAGTAATCCACTAGTTAGGTTGCTAGGGTTACTATTCAATGAGTTGCTTGCATGATCTTTGATTTCAATGATTAGCTAGGGATTATATTAGAGTCTTTGTCTCGTCTTGTGCACTTAACTAATGCTGATTGCTTTACCGCGCATCTAGTAATCCGATCTTAGGTTGATTTGAGCCTCGACAGTGCTGTATCATTCGCCGGACATATTCTTTGACAAGCTAGGTTTCTTAGACTGCGAAAGTTGATCTATCTATATCTAGTGAACTGTATCAGAACCTATTCATTCTAATGCTTGATCTAATCACCTAGGGACATACCAAAAGTTTAGCGACTAGGTAGATTAGCAAAGGAGCCGGAGCCTCGAAAGTGGAATGGTTTTATATTCGTGATCTGTGTTCTAGATGGTTCTTAATATCCCAATATCCCTAATCAATTAATCTATCATTGTTTCATTGATCATTGCTTGCTTCTCTGCGATAGCCCCTATGACCTAGCGCTTTTCCTTTATTGATTTACAACCTCGTTATACTTGCTAGTTCGGTTCACCATTACAACCTCAATCATACTTTTGTTTTAGCTTGATCCAAAATCCATAGTTTCAAAGTGTACTCAATAGCCAGTCCTTGTGTTCGATACCCATACTTCCGCGATCTGTGCACTTGCAGAGGTCTAGGAGTTTGGTAAAACCTGACTCCGCATCAAGTTTTTGGCGCCGTTGCCGGGGACTGCAGCAGTACCTTTGGAACTCGACTAGGATCTAGTCTAGAACCTTTTCCTGTTTGTTTTCTTTTGCTTTTGATTTTTGCTTTTGTTTTTGTTTTTCCCTTTTGATTTAACTTGTTTCCAAGACTCTTTTCAGGTGCATGACTAGGAGGTCCAACAAGGACAACCTAGTTGAACATCCAGAGATAGACAAGCTTGAGAAGCAACTTAGGAAGCAAAAGCCCAAGAGATGGCCGACGAAGCAGCTCGCGCTCACGCCGCTGAAGTGGCGCGCGCTCAAGAAGAAGGAAGAGATCCACCTCCTCCTCCTCCAAGACCCTGCTGGAGATGTGAATGCACAACCCAAGCTGGAGCACCTACAATCGGAGACTATGACTCTGCCGATGCTTTCTTCATGGATAGAAACCCTATCCATCCACCACTTCCTGCAAGGAATGACTATGAGATCAAGCCTCAGATCATAGCATTGGTTAGACAGAACCAATTCAATGGACTTCCAGCTGAGCATCCTCTTGATCACATAGAAAACTTTGAAGAAATTTGCAGCACTACAAGATCCAATGGAGTCTCTGCTGACTACCTTGAAGTGCAAGCTCTTTTCATTCTCTCTTGGCGACAAAGCTTCAAGATGGTTGAAGTCTCTGCCAGCTCACTCCATCACCACTTGGGATGAGTACAAGGCGCTTTCATCAACCACTTCTACACCAAGCAAGATCAATTTCTGTGAGGAACAAGATCTCCAACTTTCGCCAAGCCAACAATGAATCTTTCTATGAGGCGCTAGATCGATTCAAGGAGTACATTAGGGACTGCCCTAATCATGGTTTCAATGAGGGAAACCTATGGAACATCTTCTATCGTGGCATAGACCACAAGTACAAGCTTTCATTGGACACTGCAAGCAATGGAAACTTCATGACCAAGACTGTTGATGAAGCTAAGGTTCTTATTGAGAATCTTGCAGCTAGTGATTGTAACAACTGTCCTGATTATGACCGCTCAAGCCGCACCACTACTAGCTCCCCTGATTCTTTTCAAATGACTGAACTCAAGAACATGATGGCTCAAGTTCTTAAGGGACAGCTCAAGCATATCAATGCAATAGAAGGGATGAGTGATGCTAATGAAGACCCATCAAGAGAATGCATGGGAGATTTCTCTAATGAAGCCAATGAAGAAGATGTGAACTACATTGGAAACTATGGGAACAAGGGATACAATCCAAGCTATCGCCCAAACCCCAACATGTCTTATAGAAACCCCAATGTGGAGAATCCTCAAGACCAAGTGTATCCTCCAAGGTATCCACAACAACAAAGACCTCCTTACCAATCTCAAGGAAGTCAATTTCAGCCAAGGCAAGGATATGAGCAGAGATCATCATATCCGCCCAAGGAGCCATATGCTTCTTCACCAAATCAAGCTCCTCCAAACCAACAAGGTGGGAGATTTGAAGGAATCCTCCAACAGATCATGGATGGCCAGAAGAGAAACACTAAAGAGATGTATGAGAAGATGGACACTTTGTTCAGCAATCTCAACACCAAGTATGATGCTGTTGCCACTCATGTGAAGAAACTAGAGACTCAAGTCACTCAAACTATGGAAGCTGTTAAGAGACAGGAAGCTGAATCCAAGAAGTCCTTTTGCAACTCAGCCGCCATAGAAGAAAGATTTGAAGACCAAGTTCCAGAATGGATGCTTTCAAAACCTACTGTTGATTGCATGATTTGGCCTGAAGAGAATTACCCAGAGAGAGAGTCCAATCGAGCTAGAAAGAGAAGACTCTTCCCAAAGATTATCCCCAAGACAGATAACTCAGGAAAGTTTGTTGTGCCTTGTATCATCAAAGGTAACATTCTTGAGCAATCTTTGTGTGACACAGGAGCCAATGTGAACATCATGTCTAAGAGGATAGCTGACAAGATAGGCCTCACCAAGATAGAGCCATCATCCATCTCCATCAACTATGCTGATTCATTCTCACAAACCCTATGGCTTTGTGCCTAATGTGATGGTGCAGATTGGAAATTGCTCTATCCCTACTGATTTCCAGATTGTGGAAATGAGAGAGAGTAGCCATAGACCTCTCATATTTGGAACCCCTTTCCTGTCTACTGTGGGTGCCATATTTGATTTCCCCAATCAAAGAATCTCTTTCAACAAGGTGAACAAGGGTATGTTCTTCCCTATGTGTTCAACAAAGAACTCTTTTGTTGACATGGTCCAAGAGGAGAAAGCTACTTTGAAGCCACCCCAAGAAGGAGAAACTGAAGAAACAATCAAGGAAGATCCCATTCCTAAGCCCAAGCAGCTTGCCAAACAAGCAAGGAGTAAGACTAAGGCCCCTACACCAAAACCGCCCAAGGGATCAACCAAGATTGAAGATGAGGCCAAGCCAAGAAGGAAGGTTAGAAAACCTAGGTCTGGCCGCAACATGAAGCTTCTATTCCCAAAGGAGCTTATTGATGAGAATCTAGAAGGATTCAAGGAGAAAGTGACAAGAACTCTAAAGCTTTTTCCTAAGGCAGTAGTGCCAAGGGACATTCATGGAGAGATTGTCTATCCAGCTGTGAATCACCCACCAGATACTCATTGCAAGGAGAAAAGACTTGGAGGATCAAGGATGCCTCTTGTCTCCATCTTCTCCTGAGCGCCAAGCCTTACAGTCAAGCTAAAGACTTAAAACAAGCGCTGCATGGGAGGCAACCCATGAGGTACTTTTACTTTTCTTTCTTTAATTTTCTTAGTTTTTGTTTTGCTTTTGTGTTTTCTTTGTTTTAAGATAGGATAGAAGGAGAAAAAGGTGTGAAAACACAATCCGCGCCAAAACATTGGCCGCGGACGCGCAAAAGAGATTTTGGCCGAGCAATTCCAATCTGGCCGACCGTACGGTCGAGCCGGGAAGGAATAAGCCGTGCTCGGCCGGATTTCTACTTGCGCGACAGAAACCGTTCGCGCCACGCACGAACCGGGAAAGAACGATCGCGATCGGCCGAAATTTTGTATCGGAACGGACCGACCGTGCCGGTCGATCCGGGAAACACGCTCGGCCTCGGCCGAAATTCTCTCGCCAAAACGAATTTGGCCGACCAAATCGCTCGACCGCGACAAAATCCATCGGCCATCGGCCCAAAACTTTTCTAGGCCAAGGTAAGTCCCCTTTTCATTAATTCAAACCGGTTTTAACCAATCTAAACCAACTTAAACCGGTTTTCAATCAAAATTCGAATTTGAAAAGGAAAATTGATAGGATTTAGATCTTATTTACTTCACCTTTCCCTTGAAAACCACAAGAACCTCTCTTTCTTCTCCAAAACCCTAAACTCCATTAGAGGAACTCTAAGAGTTTTGATTTCAAAACTTTTACTGTTCATAACTCTAAATTGGAATTTACTTGCTCTTGCAACCTTATTCACTTTTCAACACACAAGGTATGTCTTCTAACTCTAATCCTATGTTTATGCAAGATCGAAAATCTTCAATAAGTTTCATGTTTGGTCTAAACTCTTGTCTAGACTTGAAATTAGCATCCTTATAGTCTTGTAATGAACTTTGCTAGGTGGAACCTAGGTGGTTTAGAGTTAATTTGAAGTTTAATTTCACAATTGAATAGTTTTTCACAAAACTTATTGGGCATTCCAAACCCCTTATTCAAAGGTGAAATTGCTTGGGCATACTTCAATTCATTAGTTTATCTAGTGATTACTTGGATTAGAAACTCAATTTCTCTTGATTTGCTGAAAATTTGATTTTAAGCACCATAATCTTGGGATGAACAGTAAAATCCGAAAATTAATTTTGAAAAAGTGAAATTTCTATTTTGTCTCTTTGATTCATGATTAAGCCTTGAGTTGTTCCTTTATTCCATATCATTATTACAACTCAATTAGCTTATTCTTCTTTTGCATTAATCACAAACTCATATTTCTTCCCAAGAATTTGCTCTTGTAGGTACACAATGGCAAAGACAAAAGGAAATGAGAGTATGAAGAAGAAGAAGAACCCATTCATGGACCACCAAAGAAGCAAATCAAGCTAGGGAGTAGTAGCTCCAATGCAAGAGCAGCAATACCAACTTCACCACATTCCATTGATGCAATCAAGAACATGTGGAGAGTCCAAGAAGAGGAGAAGATGATTGGGCACTTGTAACCTTTGTTGGAGAACAAAATCAAGACCCAAGAAAGTGTAAGAAGGCAATGGAGAAGGTGAACATCGAGCCATGTGTGAAGATGGACACCCAAACCCTTGATCTTCTCAAGATAAGAGATGATGTCACATGGTACATAAAGCAAGGCTAGTGAGCTACTGAGTTCCTCTCTACAGTAGCTCTTGCCTTTCCCAACCACAATGGAGACCAACCAGCTGGTGAAGGACTCCTACTCTTCAAGATAGGCGATGCCAATGGGCGCATATCCATCTCAGCTCTATGCCAACTCTTTGGACTTCCCAATGAGACAGCACATGACTTCAAGGAGAACTCAAAGAGGAAACAAGCTGCCTTTGCTGATTGGACACACTTTGCCAATGAACCATTCTTGCCTTCAAGGTCAAAGGTGTCTAGAATCACCCATCCAGCCATTCGCTATGTGCACCGCCTCATCTCCACCACTTTCCAATGCAAACAAGAAGCCAACAAGGTCACAACTGATGAGTTCTACATCCTCACCACACCATTCATCAAGCATGAGTACAAGGCCAACCTTGGACTTTTACTTGCCAAGACATTCATCAATGTGAGGAAGCTAGCTAAAGACTTGGAAGGCAACAAGAAGCTTTGTGTTCGTTTTGGGAGGCTTATCACGGCCATAGTACTGCATGTGGGGATTGACATTCCCAACTATGAGCCACTACCCAAGCCAACCCCTTTGGATCTCCATGCTCTTCAGCACATCCACTTCCTAAACCGTTGGACTAAAGACCCAACTCGGTTTTGCTATGAGTTTCCAATTGGTCCAGCCAACACTTCCCTTGTCTTGCTGCCACATGAGACATCCCAAGCCTACGCTCAGGAGTTGTCACTTTCCAGCCCAATGAGGAAGAGTTCTATGTTCCATCAAGTGAGAAACCATCATTCCCCATGCTCACCTATCGCACACTTCAGCATGCAGTCAAGACTCAACGCCGCTCCAAGAACGCCATGTTCTCACTACTGGCATGGCTGCGCACCAAGCTCTAGACCGTGTTAACAAGCTGGAGAAGATAGTGGAATGCCAATCTCGCTTCATCTCACGCCTAGTCCGCGTAGTTCGCCACATTGCACCGGAGAGACTCTTTCGCCCTTCTTCCACCGCTAGAGAGCCATATGAGCCTGACCTTGGTGAGTTCTCACTAGACTCAGAGCTTGGTTCAGAAGGCGATGACCCCATAGATGAGGAAGAGAGTTCTTCTCACTGCCACACATAGTCATCTCAAGTGGTACTTAGTGCAATGGACACTTACAAATCTCCATTTTCTATCCCTATCTTATTTTAATGAATTTTTCTTTATTTTTCTTTTACTTTGAATATTACCTCTCACCTTAATGTGATTTGCTTTCACCGGGACGGTGCAAGTTAAGTCTGGGGGGAGTTTTATTGTGTTACTAATGCATTTTTCTTTCTTTTCTTATGTTTTATTCACTTTGTTTCATGTTTTTCAAAAAGTTTTATTGAGTCAAAAACCAGTCCGGAAGTTATGAACTTGCTTTGAGAATTGAGAGTGTTATGCTAACAATCCATGACCCTAGAGCAGAAACCAGCTAAAGGCACAAGCCTAACAGAAGCTCTTACAGTGGATCGACATGCTAGCTCAGCAAAATTTCTAAGGTAACCAAGCAATCTAGAGTTAACCTCACCTTAATCAATCTTAATTACTCTTGTCAAGGGGGTTGGCATACATGTCGACAGTTCCTTGCTTGATTTTCAATAAGATTTGTCTAATCTTTAAAGAGTTCTCCTCTCTCTCCCATCCCAAATGGTAAGTATATTTATGAGAAAAAGCTCAAAGAGCACAAGGACAACAAGTAAGCATGAGGAATGCATATGTCTGTACCTTCATGTCTTATGGAATACCTTAGTCAAACAAGGAACAAGCTAAAGACTTATCCTGTGGTTGAAAGAAGGGTCAATAGAAAAAATAAAATGATACCCTAGAAAAGTAGGGAGAAATTGACCTTTCAAAGTTCTGATGTGAGAAAGAGAGAGGAAAAGAACTCATTGCACTTAAAGAGGCAATCTTGGAGAGGATCAAGTGGGTAAGAACAAGTTCAATTGATCGATGTCCCCTTGATAAAGAATTCACGCTTTAAATTTATGCAAGAGGTTAGCAATAGAGAGTTTGGATTGCTGGATGAGACTAGTTGGGTTGGTATTGTTCGCTAAACTTGCAGGGTGTATGTGAAGCTAACCTTATGTTGTCTATGTTCATAGTGGAATACAGGAAAGGAACCTTTCACAGGATATTCAAAAGAGCAAGGGAGCTTCCACGTTTTCAAACCTCTTTCACGGATTTAGATTCTTTTTGCTTGAGGACAAGCAAAGATCTAAGTCTGGGGGAGTTGATATACCTCTAATTTACCCACTTTTTATACTGTTTTAGCATTGTTTTCTAATGGTTTTTGGCAGGTTTTCTATCTAAAAAGGTAGTTTTACTGTGTTTATAGTGTCTAGAGTCTAAACAGGTGAAATGATGCATTTTGGAGCAAAACCATAGGATTTGCACTTCAAGCAGCTCCATGCACAAGCACCAACTTTAAGAGGGCCCAGAAAAAGATCTACTCAATGGATTTCATCAAGACCAGTTCCCTGCGTGCTCTGATTGAGTTAACTTTCCAACGCAACTGGAATGGCCTAATTTGGATGAGTAGAAAAGGAGTTACAACCAAAAGAGTGAAGACTGTCCAGACGGCTCTATCGAGAATCAGCGCCCAACCGCGCAGTCCGGCTGGCCGAGGAACGAATGTTCGCGCTCGGCCAAATCTCGTCCGTCCGTCTGAAGTCTCGGCCAAAGTCCAAACCGTCGGCCGATCACGCAATCACGACCCGGGAAACATTGCCCGCGGTCGGCCACGCCACCGCCACGACCGCGCACGACCAAAGCGCGCGAGCCGGGAGAACGCCTCGCGGCCGCGCAACCTTCTCGCGTACCACGGCCGATGCATCCGTCCGAGCCGGGAAGACTACGTCCCGCGTCCGGCCGAGATTTCATCGGCCAAATTCATCCGTCCGACCACAGCCGGCCGACCACGAATCCGTCCGACCCCGACCGTTCCGACTCGGCCACAACCCGATTGTCCGGCCGATCGTCCCGCACGACCGTCCCAACGCCGCGGTCGACCCGAAGCCCTTTTTGAAGCCCAAACTTATGTTTTCAAGCCCGGCTTAACCCTAGCCGCCTCTAGAAAGACCTAGCACTATATATATGGATTTTTAGCCTCTTGAGAAAGAGAGCCGCCCTGTATTTCGATTTCCTACTCTAAGTTTTATTGCAATCATGTTTTCTTCATCTCTATGTGTGTTTGCTTTGATCATGTCTGAGTAATCCACTAGTTAGGTTGCTAGGGTTACTATTCAATGAGTTGCTTGCATGATCTTTGATTTCAATGATTAGCTAGGGATTATATTAGAGTCTTTGTCTCGTCTTGTGCACTTAACTAATGCTGATTGCTTTACCGCGCATCTAGTAATCCGATCTTAGGTTGATTTGAGCCTCGACAGTGCTGTATCATTCGCCGGACATATTCTTTGACAAGCTAGGTTTCTTAGACTGCGAAAGTTGATCTATCTATATCTAGTGAACTGTATCAGAACCTATTCATTCTAATGCTTGATCTAATCACCTAGGGACATACCAAAAGTTTAGCGACTAGGTAGATTAGCAAAGGAGCCGGAGCCTCGAAAGTGGAATGGTTTTATATTCGTGATCTGTGTTCTAGATGGTTCTTAATATCCCAATATCCCTAATCAATTAATCTATCATTGTTTCATTGATCATTGCTTGCTTCTCTGCGATAGCCCCTATGACCTAGCGCTTTTCCTTTATTGCTTACAACCTCGTTATACTTGCTAGTTCGGTTCACCATTACAACCTCAATCATACTTTTGTTTTAGCTTGATCCAAAATCCATAGTTCAAAGTGTACTCAATAGCCAGTCCTTGTGTTCGATACCCATACTTCCGCGATCTGTGCACTTGCAGAGGTCTAGGAGTTTGGTAAAACCTGACTCCGCATCAGAGAGCAAATCACAATGCAAGCTCATGTCAAATGACTAAAGGAAGGGTTCTCTCAAGAAGAAGTGAAACAGCTTCGGCATAATGCTAAAGGCGAGAACCAATTGGGAGGTATAAGGACAAATGATCATCTACCCGAAACCCCAAGTACCTTTCTGGTGACTCTCAAATCCGAAACTTCCTATTTCTACCCTTTCCCTTTGGGTTTTCCTTTTCCTTCTCTTTTTCTTAGAGCTTCTTGAAACTTTTAGCAAATTTTTCTAAGGCTTTTTGAAAGACAAACTCGAGAGACTTGGTCTAAATTCTTGCCCTAAACTATCTTTTCCTTTTGAAACTCTTTTTTCTTTGTTTTTTTTTTTTTTTTCTGATGGGGGCTTTCTTAAACTTACAGACCAAGCTCTTTATCTACCTCAACTAAAACGCCTCTTTTCTTTTTGCTCACAAGCTCTTTCTTTCTTTTTCTTTTTGAAACTCACCCCAAGACATTCCCAAACCCAGGTCCTAACCTAGTCTGGCCCAAAAAGCGTGGACCAGAATCTACATGATCACCTATCCTTGTCGGCTCAAGACCTAACACTTTATGCCAAGCTTTTTCAAAAAGGCCTCACGACATACAAGAACAACATTTGGTTTGAAAGGAAGGGTTGGTTAAGGGCAGGGAATTCTACTTGAATCAACAAAGATGGATAAACAATGATGCAAAGATGATTCAAGTATGTATAATCCACGAGTTGAACTTAACAAGCATGAGTATGATAATTGATGTTCAGGTTCATGTTTCACTTAGACAAGGAGCAGATTCAAATCACAGCAATGCATTCGTGATGTACTTGCATTTTACATAGTTTTAGCACATCTTTTATGCATCTTTTGCATAGTTTTAGCTTCCATTTGCATCATATCTTGTTCCTTTTCTCTTCTTATGCATTCATGTTAGTTTTAGGTTGCATTTGCATACATATGCATGTTTGGTCCTTTGAAATAGGTCTTTTGGAGCATTCTGGAGCATATGGGACACAAGGAGCATGGAGGGACTTGGCACATGGAAGCAGCTCAACTGGATACGCAAAGGAAGAAGGGAGAAGCCATCTTGAAGACCAGCTCGACCGTCCTACTCGACCAACCGGTCGAGTTCCTCAACTCGACCGGCCAAGCTTCAACTCGATCGAGCTGGAAGTCAAAGTCAAACCCGAAAAATGTTGCTTCCCCCTTGACTTTCCTTTGACCCTAAACCTAATCCTCTTGTATTTAAAGGCTCTAAGCCACGAAAAAACCACCAAGCTTTAGATTATTTTGTTTTAGTTTCTTTTAATTTATTGTCTTTTACTTTTTAGAATCTAATCCCATCTTTGTGTTCTTGAAGCTCTTGCTTCTTGAATCTAGATCCTGGATAATCTCTTTGTATTTGCACTTGCTTATTTCAATAAAAGTTGTTTAATTTCATCTCCTCTTTCTTATGATGTCTCTTTTATTGCATTTGCTTGTGTTTACATTCATGTGTAGTGAGTAGTTACCCATTAGGGTTTGAGATGGGATAGATTAGAGGTTTCATATGCTTAATCCTTCTAGCTTATGGTCTTAATCTAGATTCTCTCTCTTTTGGATAGATCTTAAGGCTACATGACCACTACCCCTGGCTTGTAAGTCCTTAGGCGACTCCCCACACGAAAGTGATGGCATTCGCTGGAAAAGATCCACTAAGAGCTCCAATATCTCTTGCTCTAGACAATAGAGGTCTAAGGGGTTGGATGGATTAGTTTGGGCAATGATCCTATAGCCTCCAAGGTTTGATTCTCACTGGCTAACCCCCTGTTTCTGAGATCATTCCTTGGTTGATAGCCTCCACCTTGGGAAAGGGTTGGCTAGGCATTGAGAAGCCCAATATCAAGAGAAGCCTTGATACAAGGAGTTTTAAGAGCTAGATTGATTAAGTGTAGATTCCTTTGATTGCAAAACCCTGTCTTGAACCCTAATTCTCTCTTTATCTTGTTAAAGTCGTCACCTTTAGCTTTGTTTGTCTCAACTCGACCCTAAACTCGATCGAGCTGGTACTTTGCTCTACTCGACTCGAGTCTTGGTCGAGCTGACTTCACTGCTTTGTTTACTTTTATTGCACTGCTTTTCTTTTTTTAGGTTGTTAGTGTTACTTCAAATCTCTTACTGCTTGCTTGACTTCTGGTTGTTTCATATTCTCATAGAGTGACAAGTTTCCCATTTTGGATTGATAACCCTTTGTACTACATCAACTATGATGGTTAAAGGGAATTGTTGACTGTGTTTGTGTTTGCATCTTACCACTCATCATTACCACTGATTGCATTCCACTCATCTCATTTCATTCTTTTCACATCCACACACAAATCCTATCATCAATTTGGCGCCGTTGCCGATTTGGGAATATTTTTGTTGCATTTGAGTTTCAAACACACTTGGACGATCAAGCTATACCACCCCTGTTCTATTGTACTGCTGGGTTTTTGTCTCTTTTTGCAGGTGTATGCGAACTCGATCGAGTCGGTCTACTGAAGACTTGGTCGAGCTAGACATTACAACGGGTAGAAAGAGGGTTCAGAGGTCACAGAGGGTACAAGAGGAACCTGAGGTGCTTGTTGCTGATACAATGGATGTACCAGAGGGGAATGGAAACCCTTTGGGCAATGGACTCGGTCGAGCTAGGCAAACTCGACCGATTGGTCAAGGAGATGCTCCAAACCGCCACCAACAGAGACAAGGGATTGTTCCACCACCAGTGCAGAACCACAACTTTGAGATCAAGCTGGGAATGATCAACCTTGTCCAGAACAAGATGTTCCATGGATTGCCAAGTGAAGACCCCATTGACCACCTTGATGAGTTTGATAGGCTTTGTGATTTGACAAAGATCAATGGTGTCTCTGAAGATGCCATCAAGCTGAGACTCTTTCCTATGTCTCTAGCTGACAAAGCTCACCAATGGGAGAAGAGCTTGCCCCATGGCACAATCACCACTTGGGATGAATGCAAGAAGGCCTTTCTTGCTAAGTTTTTCTCCACCGGTCGCACAGCCAAGCTTAGAGGAGAGATATCCAGCTTCATCCAGCGAAACAATGAGACATTCGCAGAGGCTTGGGAGAGGTTCAAAGGCTACACAAGTCAGTGCCCACACCATGGATTCAACAATGAATCACTACTCTCCACTCTTTATAGAGGATGCTTGCCTAGGTATAGGGAGATGCTAGACACAGCTAGCAATGGGAACTTCCTCAACCAGGATGTAGATGATGGCTGGCAACTTGTGGAGAACATAGCTAACTCAAATGGAAGCTATGGAGAAGAGTATGATCGCACCAACCGGAGCTCGACCCACCACTCGATCGAGTCAGACGAAAAGTTGAGAAAAGATGTTAAGGCATTGAATGAGAAGTTGGATAAGCTGATCCTAGCTCAGTCCACAATGAAGAAAGTCAACTTTGTGTCTGCTGAGGAGATGGAACCAGTCCAAGAAGGGGAGGATACACAATTTGCTGAGGTGTGCTACATGAGCAATGGGCAAGGAGGTTACAACAAAGGATACTATAATTACAAGTCCAACCCTGCCATGTCATACCGCAACACTGATGTTGCTAACCCTCAGGACCAAGTCTATCCTCAACAACAAGCAGCTCGATCGAGTCAAGGCCACAACATGGGTATGGTCAAAAGAACAATTACCAAGGACCACAAGGCACTTTCCCTGGACAACAAATGAATATCCCACCAGGCTTCCCCACCAACCGCCCCAGCCTGCACCTTCACAAGAGAATGAGCTCAAGGCAATGCTAAAGCAACTACTTCAAGGGCAAGCTGATGGGGTAGTGGACACAAGCAAGAAGCTAGCTGAAATAAACTCTAAGATCGAGAACCTCAACACAAGGGTTTACTCTCTGGAGAATCATGCTTCTTCTGTTGCTGCTGCTACAAAGCAAGGACAACTACCTGGTAAAGCTATTCAGAACCCCAAGGAACAGTGCAAGGTCATCTTCACTCAAGAAGGACTTGTTGAAGAAGAGGATCAAGAAAGGGTCATTGAAGATTTTTGTTTACTGCTGAATGATGAAGAGATTGTTGCTGCTGAGGCTCCTGGAGTCCAGATTGATCAACCAGAAGTGCAGGCACCTACTGTGGCCATTCACACTTCACCAGTTGAGCTCGCACGACAAGCTCGATCGGCAGCTCGATCGAGTCCAACTCTAGCTCGATCGAGTCCGACCTCTTCTGTCCGACAGCCTGTTTTGCTTGATCCTTATCAACCGGTTGCCGCTTCCTCGTCTCGCCTACTTAGTCAAGGTCACAAGGAAGTGATTCACAAGTTCAGAAGAGATCTCAGTGGGATTGGAATTGAGTTGCCTCCTATGGATAGCATGAGTGAGGCATTTGATCAAATGCAAATGGTCAAGGATGTTCTAGCCAACAGTGATAAAGTTTCAGAGGTCCTACAAGAGTCTACTCATCAGTTCAACCTGCTTACTTCACCCACCTTCCTACCAAAGGTCAAGGATCAAGGGAAATTCACTCTCCCTTGCACACTTGGGCATCTTGAGATTGACAATGCCTTAGTGGATTCTGGAGCAAGCATCAATCTGATCTCTCTCTCCATGGCAGAGAAGCTAGGCATAGCTGGAGCCTTGCAGCGCCCTACTACTTCAATCATGTTTGGAGATGCAACTTCTAAGTCTCCTCTTGGAGTGTTCAAGAACTATCACTTGAAAATTGGAGAATGCATCATCCAAACTGATCTCACTGTGATGGAAATGGAAGAAGAGAAGGATTTGCCTTTGTTATTGGGAACCCCTTTCCTTAGTACAGTTGGCGCTTCAATAGACTTTCACAAGCAAGAAGTGATCCTTCACAAGGTGAATAGTTTGGTGTCATATCGCTTGCAGCCTAGAGGTTCAGACTTTTGTGCCACAATTGACAGTACCAATCTCAGTTCTAAGAGTCATGGAGCTACAAAGGTTGTGAAGGAAAGGGTTGACAAGGAACCAAGAGTTGGGAAGGATAAGGATGAGAGAGGACCAAGGATTGAGAAGCCACGTCTTGAGAGGGCTAGAGTTGAGAAACCACGATCTGATAGGCCAAGAGCTGAGAGACTTGTTCAAGCCCCTTGTGTGCTTGATGAAGAGAGCCTTCAAGCTTTGTTTGATGAGCCACTAGGAAGGGCTCTAAAAGAAGGGGAGGATGCAGCCTCTAAGGCAAGACCAGGAGATAAAAGAAAGGATCCACCAGCTCAGGCCCCTTCAGTCAAGCCATCTCAGCTCACAATGACTTTGTTCCCCACCAAGTTTGAAAATGGGAAGATTGAGTACAAGATAAGGTACAAGGGGAGATCAAGGCCATTCTCTAGAGCCAAGGCCTTGGTGACTTCAGAACAGTCCAGGGACCCAACCAAGCTAAAGGAGCTTCTGTCTCAAGTCCTCACTATCACCCTTGATGGTGGGACTAGCTCAACCAATGCCTAAGAAGGTAAAGGTCAAGCTATGGGACCTTAAACAAGCTCACTTGGGAGGAAGTCCCATGTTTATCCTTGTACATACTCTATTTATGCAATTTCTATCTATCTTTATGTTTTTAACCTTTCAATAAGTTAAGTTTAGGTGTCAAGGAGCCAGCTCGACCGACAGCTCGATCGAGCTAGAAACCAGGGCAACTCGATCGAGTTCCACAACTCGACCAAGGTAAGTTTTTGAATTTCAAATTCATAACCGTTTTCTTGGTCAAGGGAGTGGGTCCCACAAGCTGATTTTGGTCCCCCACTACCCTAATTGATCAGAGAATCCCTAGTTTCTTGTTCCCTCTTTATTTCATCTTTTAATCTCAACCACACATCTCAAACACCTCTTCCCCATAACTCGATCGAATCCCACTTCTCTCTCTCCCACACTTAAATTTCTGAAATCATCCATCTCTCTCTTCACCACAAGAAAAATCGATTTCAACTCTCTCTTAAGTTTTTGCGATTTCTTTGTTCTTCATCTTGTTTTGCTTGTTCTTAGTTTACTGCTCTTCAATTCCATCATTCAAGCAAGGTATGAACCCTAAAACCCTTGATTCTTCATCTCGATTCCTCCATTGCTTGTTTCTCTTGATTTTTGATTGCATGTGTCCCTTGTGGATTTCTTGAGTAATTGCTTTCTTTTCTTCCTTGTATAATCTTGTGAATTTGCTTCACCTCACCTCTGTTTTGCCATTAGAACTTGTTGCATGTGCTTGAAAGAATTTGAGTTTGGTATGGTTAGTTGCTATGTTTTCACTAGAATTGCTTATTGTTCCATTTACTAGTTGTTCTTGGTTCAATTTGATTGATTAGCATCCTTTCCAGCTCTTAATACTTGAATTAGGTTTGGTTATACTCTGTTTTCACCTACTCGATCGAGTTTGTCACTCGAGTTTTTTGACTCGATCGAGCTGAGTGTCGAGTTGACCAAACCGATCATTACAACTCTAATTCTTTGAGTTTTTGATGCATTTCAGGAACCCAACTTCAAGAAGCAACGTTCTAAGATGTTGAGAGGTGAAGGAAGCAAGCAGCATTCACAAAGAAGGAGATAAGAAGAGGAGCAAGGAGGATACTCAGACAAACCAAGGAGGATGAGAAGAGTTGAGAGGTGAGGGAAGAGGAGAACCAAAAGAAGGAATGATCCTTCAGTAGTGAGAGCGAAGAGGAGAGTTTGAAATTGGAGTGAACATCCCAATGAGGAGAATGATGACTCCCAAGTGAAGAAGAGGGTGAGAGTCAATCAAGAGATTGAGGAGAGTGAGCATGAGAGCAATGAGAATGTGCCCATGGAAGAGGAGGAGTCAGAGGAAGAAGAGGATGAGCTCCCCATGTACCAAGAGCACTATGATGCTCTCTTCTCCATGGACTTTGTGGAGACCAAGTACCCACATGATGACACATGAAGGCCCTTGGAATCTTTGAGATGTGGAGTTGGTCCTCAAGAACATGCACTTGGCCAAGTTCTTCTCTTACCACATGGAATCCTACAAGGAGCTCACTTGTGAGTTCTTAGCTTCAATGAGGTACCACATGTAAAGAGCTCGATAGAGCTGATTTGGACCAAGGATTGGGATGGATCACGTTCTTGGCTAAGGGAGAGAAGAGAATGGTGACCTTTAGGCAGTTGGAGATCTTGTTTGGGTTCAACTATGGGAGGGAACCAAGTGGAACTTCAAGGAAGGAACTCCAAAGGGTTTGGGCTACAATCGCTGATGGATACTCTTCCTCAAGGTCCAAGGCAGCTCAGATCAGGAGCCCAGTGTTGAGATATGTGCACAAGGCTTGCCAACACCTTCTTTGCAAGGAAGGCGACCGGGACAATCAATGAGGGAGAAGTCAAGCTCCTTGACATGGGAATCAAGCCCATCATCTCACGCACAAGGATGGGCAAAGGATCAGGGGAGATAGACACGCAGGGAACTGATGCCTCTCCTTGACCAGCTCTCACCTACAAGTCACAGCCTACAACACTAGGCACCAAACGAGGAAGGAAGCTTAGTGTTGGAGGGTCATCACACCTATCTTGTGTGCAGCTGGAGTCCAACTGGACAAGAGAAGTCTACCAGAACCAGGTTGGATGGACATCAAGTTTTGCAAGACCAACCTCTCATTGAGCACAAGGAGTTGGATGGGAGTTCCAATTCAAGTTCACACATCCATTGGCTGGCCCTCCAAGCTTCTCCTGCCCAACCCTGAGCTCACCACAGTCTAGGGGTGAGAACATTGACTTCAGACCCCCTGTGTACACATTAGTTGGGCATGAAGGATTTGCGAGAAGATCGAGCTGAGGATCGAGTTGAGGACAAGCTCAGTGAATGAGGATTTGGGTGAGCCTGAGTGCTACTACTTTGAGGAGTATGAGGCTCCAAGGATGAACCCCTCTGTTGTGGCTGCCACAAGAGGATTGGACTTCTCCAAAGTTCAACAAGTGGCAAGGGAAAGCCATGGAAAGATGCAAAAGTCCATGGACAAGATGGTGAGCAAGATCAAAAGTTTGGAGAAGAAGGTTTCTGGTTCTTCAAGCAAGAAGAAGAAGTCCAAGGCCCCACTTTCCCTAGGAGTATCACTCCTCACCACCCAAGGAGGCTCCCTGCCCAAGAGCCTCACAGAGCCTCTTCTTTCGAGCCAAGGGAAGGAGAGACAACACGCAGAGAAGGAGGAAGAGTTCCAAGACGCTCCACGCTCGACCACCGGACTCGATCGAGTCCAAACAGAGGAAACTCAACTCGATCGAGCTGAGGGTCGAGTTGACCTGGAGGAGCCCCTGTTTGAGAACCCGGGATTCGAGTACGATCAACCCAGTACCAGGACTTCTCTCAGAGCTGGACCCCTACAACCGCTTCGAGCGAGCACAGCTCCACCAAGGCCAAGGAAGCCACACACTTTGAAGATGAAGAAGAAGAGGAGGAGGAGCCACAAGCTCGATCGAGTGAGCCGAACCCAGTTGCAGTGGAGTGCTCCTGATGGCCGTCTCCCATCTCCAGACCACGACCTAGCCTCCCAGTTCTTTGGGGGCACTGAGGTATCCAAACACCAACCCTTGTATATACCATTTCATATTTTCTTGCTTTGTTCTTGTTTTTCTTGGTTTTGCCCTCTTGAATCTTTCACTAAATTTTTCTCACACAAGGGACTGTGTGATTTAAGTTTGGGGGAGGGTTCAAGAGATGATTTAACCTTGTTTTCTTTGTTCTTAGTTTTTCATTATCTTTTGCATAGAAAAACCAAAAAAATCATAAAATTTTCAAAAAATCCAAAAATATTTTCATCTTTTTGCATTCATATTTGTTAGACTTGTTTAGGATTGCATTTTTCACTTGCATTGTTGATTTGACTTTGAAAACTTGTCCATCTTTTGCGATTTCTTGAGTGCCCTGTTTTTAGATTCTTTTGTGCATTAGGGTGAGATTGATTGAGCAGCAAGAACCATGTTTATCTTGATCATATCACTGCATGCACATCTCATTCAACCATTGCTGTGATTTGATGCATTTCCCTATCTATTTGAACCATAACTTGATCTTTAATTACCAATGCTTGCATTTGATTTCAACTCATGGCTACCACATACATATCTGGACATTCTTTACCTTTTCATATCCCTTTGCTTGTCCAGATAGCTGATCTCTATCTTTGAGACAGTTACCACACCTTAAACCTAAGCCTTTTCATTTCAAACCCCTTATTATCTCTTGTGCGAATGTGAGAACCTTTCTTGGCTTTGCTTAGCATAAGGTGTTGTGTTTAAACCGGCAGGGGCAGTAGTTCTAGTTGTCTAGTTCTCTTGGGATTGTTTTCAGGCTAAGTTTGGGGGTGCCAACTCGAGCTCGATCGAGTTGGGTGTAAAAACCAGAAAAGTGGTAAAAGTTGGGAAAAACCCAAAGGAAAAAGAGTTTGGTTAAGTCCAGGGAGTTGGCAGTGTTAAAAAGGGTCTAGTAAAGGTTTGGGAAGTTAAAAAAGGAAAGTAAAAAGGGTTCTAAGTAGAATGAAAAGAAGGCAAAGCCTCAAGTGTCAAAAAGGAAAGAAAAGTTCCCTAAGTGTTTAGAAAATCCCAAACCGCTAGATGTTACCTCAAGAAGCCTCTCCCTAGGAAGTTCTTAAAAGAAAAGTGAGCAAAGCTCCTCAGTTTCAAAGGCGAAATGCCAAAAAGGGTAGTTAGGATTTTGTTCTAAAAAGCTCTAAGTGTTGAACTCGATCGAGTTAGGATTAGGCGGCTCGAGCTGCTGTTCTTGCATCATCTTTGGTTCTAACACTTAGCCTTCTGCCAAAGCAAAGCCACTTTCTTGAGAGATCCCTGTTACTAAACCACCATACAAAAGAGACCCTCTTTGTCTCTTAACCCATAAACCCTTGAAACCAAATGAGTTGATTGATCTTGCATGTTTTTGGTTCACTGTTTTTGCTTAATGAATGTTAAAGGGATTTGCTGATTTGAATGCATTGTTTGAGTGACTGTGAAGTGGGATTGATGTTGATAAGCATGGTTAAATCTTAATGAATATCTCTCACCTTGTTGCATTCTAGAATCTCTAAGTTGGACATTTAGCAAATCGCTTTTGAGGACATGTTTTTAAGTGTTGAATCAAGCTTGTTTTCAAACCTCATCTCTTTCTTGTTCTATTTGTTTGCTTGAGGGCAAGCAAAGTTCAAGTTTGGGGGTGTTGATGTACTTGCATTTTACATAGTTTTAGCACATCTTTTATGCATCTTTTGCATAGTTTTAGCTTCCATTTGCATCATATCTTGTTCCTTTTCTCTTCTTATGCATTCATGTAGTTTTAGGTTGCATTTGCATACATATGCATGTTTGGTCCTTTGAAATAGGTCTTTTGGAGCATTCTGGAGCATATGGGACACAAGGAGCATGGAGGGACTTGGCACATGGAGCAGCTCAACTGGATACGCAAAGGAAGAAGGGAGAAGCCATCTTGAAGACCAGCTCGACCGCTCGACCAACCGGTCGAGTTCCTCAACTCGACCGGCCAAGCTTCAACTCGATCGAGCTGGGAGTCAAAGTCAAACCCGAAAAATGTTGCTTCCCCCTTGACTTTCCTTTGACCCTAAACCTAATCCTCTTGTATTTAAAGGCTCTAAGCCACGAAAAAACCAAAGCTTTATTATTTTGTTTTAGCTTCTTTTAATTTATTGTCTTTACTTTTTAGAATCTAATCCATCTTTGTGTTCTTGAAGCTCTTGCTTCTTGAATCTTAGATCCTGGATTAATTCTCTTTGTATTTGCACTTGCTTATTTCAATAAAAGTTGTTTAATTTCATCTCCTCTTTCTTATGATGTCTCTTTTATTGCATTTGCTTGTGTTTACATTCATGTGTAGTGAGTAGTTACCCATTAGGGTTTGAGATGGGATAGATTAGAGGTTTCATATGCTTAATCTTCTAGCTTATGGTCTTAATCTAGATTCTCTCTCTTTTGGATAGATCTTAAGGCTACATGACCACTACCCCTGGCTTGTAAGTCCTTAGGCGATTCCCCACACGAAAGTGATGGCATTCGCTGGAAAAGATCCACTAAGAGCTCCAATATCTCTTGCTCTAGACAATAGAGGTCTAAGGGGTTGGATGGATTAGTTTGGGCAATGATCCTATAGCCTCCAAGGTTTGATTCTCACTGGCTAACCCCCTGTTTCTGAGATCATTCCTTGGTTGATACCTTCACCTTGGGAAAGGGTTGGCTAGGCATTGAGAAGCCCAATATCAAGAGAAGCCTTGATACAAGGAGTTTTCTTTATTTTTAGGTTTTAGTGTTACTTCAATTCTCTTACTGCTTGCTTGACTTTCTGGTTGTTTCATATTCTCATAGAGTGACAAGATTTCCCATTTTGGATTGATAACCCTTTGTACTACATCAACTATCATGGTTAAAGGAATTGTTGACTGTGTTTGTGTTTGCATCTTACCACCATCATTTACCACTGATTGCATTCCACTCATCTCATTTCATTTCTTTTCACATCCACACACAAAACTTACACCATCAATTCGGTTTTACTAAGACAGTCAGGATGGTTTTTGATGATGCGGTTCTACCTTAACTTCAAGAACTATCAAAAGCGCCAAACAACTTAGAACTAGGGCACTGAAGCAATTCCGCAACTCAATCAATCAGCTCAACAAACATTGCTCAGATGCAAAAGAAATGATTTTAACTACATGCTCTGTTTTTGGGTTTTTTTTTAGCAATGCAAAAATGAAAATTTTACATGATTTTCTAAAGATGTAAATGCATGAGACTCAAAGGTTATGCAAAATATAAAATAAGAACATAAAGCACTTCGTCAAATACCATTGACCCTCTCCCCCACACTTAGTTCACACGGTCCCTTGTGTGATAAAAAGGCAGAAGAGAGAATCAAAGCAAAAGATAAGTGAAAATAGAAAAGAAAAATGCATGCTATTTACAGGTTGGGGTTCATACCTCTCAGAAAGTTTCTGAGGAGAAGGATGATGTGGAATCATCCTTGGTGCTCGCCGGAGGTGACTTTGAGGCTTTCCTCTTCGTCACCTTCTTCGGAGTCGGCGACCACGTTCTCGCCATCGTCGCCATTGTTGGAGTGAATGGAGTAGAGGTGTATCGGAGTGGTGTTGACGGAGTCGTGGCTTGGAGACTTGCTCTTGCCCTTTGTCAGCTGCTTGATGCGCTTCCCCATCTTCTTCACGGTCTTGAGGAGGGACTTGATCGCTTTGTCCTGGAATTGGTTCCAGGCCCTGAGCGTGTTGATGCTCTCAAGTGCGGTGTTAGCCGCTGACTTCTTCCCTTTATCTTGTGGTTCTTGAAGTGGAACTCTCCGGTTTTGTAGTCTATGAGGTTCTCCTCGTCTCCTGAGCTCTCTTCCGCATCAGCTGCTCCTGGATAATCGTACTCCTCCTCCTCTTGGCCTTGTTCAAGAATCGTGTCGATAGGAGGTTCGAAGTCGATGTTCTCCCTGACCGTGATGTAGGTCAAGGGCTGGTTTGGCAAGAAGAAACTCGCAAGCCCGAAGTTGAACTGCCTGTAGGCGAACTGATAGTTGTGGCGTCCGCTGATGGGTTGACCTCGAAGATAGGTGCTCTTGCGGAGATAGTGGATGTTTATCGACTGAGGGTCAACCGGCTTCTCAAGCGTGATTCTGCAGTTCATGAGGATCGGCGTTATGAGTCCTCCACAACTCAGCTGTCCACTACTTGCCTTGTGCACTTTGTTGAGAGAGAGAGCATACTCCCTGTAGCTGAGGAAGCTCTTGAGAAGATACGTCGCCACGCTGTTCCCTGTTCTGTCCCCGACCATCTCAGTTCCATCCGGCAACGTGTGAATCACCTTCTTCACGCTTTCATTTAGGAAGAAGAGCTCCTTTTCGGTGACACCAGTAACGTCTCGTCTCGCATAGATAGTGTGAGCGAGGGACTTGTGGACGTATCGGAGCACGGGGTTCCTGACGTGTGTGCTCTTGGCAGTGCTCGACATGTACTCGCCAACACCGATCATTGCCCAAAAGGCTTGAAGCTCTGCATTGGTGNCATGGCATGCCGCGCACCATTGTTTCTGATCGTGACACTAAGTTCCTGAGTTATTTTTGGAAAACTTTGTGGTCTAAGTTGGGTACCAAGTTGTTGTTTTCCACTACTTGTCACCCACAAACTGATGGCCAAACTGAAGTTGTTAATAGAACTCTTGGAACTTTGTTGCGCTTGATTAAAAAGAACCTTAAAAGTTGGGATGAATGTTTGCCACATATTGAGTTTGCATATAATCATGCTGTGCATTCTGCTTCTAAGTTTTCTTTTTGAAATTGTTTATGGGTTTAAGCCCATCTCTCCTTTGGATTTGATGCCTTTGCCTTTGAGTGAAAGATTAAGCACAGATGGAAAGCACAAGGCAGAAACAGTCAGGAAGATCCATGAGCAGGCCAGAAGGAACATTGAGGCTAAAACCAAGAAGTATGCACAACAAGCCAACAAGGGCCGAAAGGAAGTGATCTTTGAAGTGGGAGACAAGGTTTGGATCCATCTGCGCAAAGAGAGATTTCCGGCCGAGCGCAAGTCCAAACTTATGCCGAGGATAGATGGACCATTTGAGATCACCAGAAGAATTAACAACAACTCCTATCAAATCGATCTTCAAGGTAAGTACAACATAAGTTCCATTTTTAATGTTACTGATCTTTCTCCTTTTCTTGCAGATGAACCAGATTTGAGGACAAATCCTTTTCAAGAGGGAGGGGATGATATGATCATGGAGGAGGTTGCTAGGAACTTGGACCAGAAAGCAGCTGGAGAGCTTGTAGCTGAGGAGGAGCAGCTTGAACCTGAGGAAGCTTTGGAGGCTTTGACTATACCAACTGGTCCAGTTACTAGATCACAAACTAAGTTGCTCAACCAAGACATTGGAAGAGTACTTAGCCGTTTGAGTCGGCGAGTTCTTGAAGACAAGCATTCCACCTTGGTTTGTTTGATGGCCAAACACTTGGGATAAAGAGGCAAGTGGTTCTTAGTGTGCTCTTTTTCCCTATCAAGGTTTTGTCCCTTTGGGTTTTCCTTGATAGGTTTTTAATGAGGCATAAGACCCACTTCCAAATCACCTCTCTTATCCTTTGTGCTTGGCCCGGCCCAAAACTCTTCTCCACTGCCAAAGTTCAAACCTTGCCGCCCAGGCACCTGATATATCCATATCTTTCATGTTTTTATCAAGGTTTTCACTATGTTTTTAATACAAATAATGTGGTTTTTAAGCCCAAGAGGTAGTTTTCTTGTATATTCTGGTTTTGAGCATCATTCAGGTCAAAATAGCAAAGAAGAGTCCAAAATGGAGCAAAAAGAGTCAAATCACCAAGTTCCCAAGTTCTAGAGCACCAAAATACATTTCTCGCTAAAGACCAAACCGGAGCATCCGAAGTACGACCGCATGTTCATGCCTTCCCGACGTCCAAAAGTCATGATTCTTATATGGAAAGATAGATATTTGAGTCTGACCCGCGGCGAAGTGAAAGAAAGGTCATTTGGATCACCGTTGGACCGGAACTTATTTTCTACCAAGACATGTCCGACGAGCGCCTAAGTAGAGCCCATGGAGACTTTGATGGATCAAGAGGCCCGCGATACCGCGCCCAAGGCCTTGGCTCATCTTGACACTAGCATAACTCAATCCAGAAGCTTCCATTGGCCTGAACGCCCATTCAAGAACTTGGAGAGCAAGCTCAAGCGGCTAAAGAGAAATGGAAACTTTCCTCTTCTGCGCGCGCTCAACTTTGCCGACCTAGACCCGCTCTCTACCTATATATACTTGCTTTTAGCCTCTTGTAATAAGAATCACCAGCCGCATAACAAGAAACACTTATTCAATAAAGTTCGGAGCCACTTAGGTGGTCTCCTTCTTCTTTCTTTTCTTCTTTTGCATTTGTATATAGCTTGCATGTTTCAATTTATATAGTCTAGAAGTAGAGATTTCTCCCTAAGGGTGAGGCGTGGTTTAGTCTATATTCCGCCGCCTCTCTCTCTAAGGATTCATGAGACTTCATCTACTATCTAAGACTCATTGTTGAATTATGGATCCTTCCAATGAGGACGTGATATAATGGCCATCGAAAATCGATTGTTAAAAGGGGAAACCCTATGGTTCTCCATCTTTATTTATGCTTAATGCTTGTTGCTAGAGTAGCTAACTAGTGACTTGATTTTAGGTTGATATACTCTCCAAAAGCTTGTTATATCTCCGGATATAGTATTTGATGGGCAAATCGTTTTAGGCTACGAAAGTAGACCTAAAGAGTTTTGTGAACAATCATTACTTGGATGTAATGCATGTCTCACTCTACAATGACCAACGAAAGCTGAGCCCATTGGTTTAAGAGACATAGGGGATTGGAACCACGAAAGTGGAATAATCCTTCCTTAGTGTTTTGAGTTCAAAAGAATCGGATTTTAACAAACTTTTCAATCGACTTGGCTCATGTTTTCAAAAGAGTTTTCAATAGTTCAATAATGTTGCTTGTATAGAATTGCATTGTTATTTGCTTTTGCGTGTTCTAAACAAACACAAACCCTTGCATCTTTTGATTTAGCTTAGTCATTTAAACTCTATGATTATGTAATGTGTGAAATCCAATCCCTTGTGGTTCGACCCCTAAATACTACAATTATATGTTGTGCACTTGCAACACTAGTTGTCTTAGGGAATTATTACTTGTACTCATCCCATAGATGCCGCATCAAGTTTTTGGCGCCGTTGCCGGGGATTGCATCATAAACACTTGCATAGTCTTGTTTAAAACTAAGTCTAGATCTTGGTATTTTCGAATACTAACTTTTTTTTTTAAATCTTGTGTTTATAGGTACTTGGAGATGAATCACAACACCAACATCCACTTTGGGAACCGGACACTGATCCCACACGATCTCCACGGCCGGAGTTACCAAGACCCAGCCGTAAGCATCGTGCCACATCCGTTCCCTCCCAACCGCGCTCATCCGACGTTTGAAGGACCTAGCCGAGACGAGCATCATTACCATCATCATCAAAACCGACCTCCGGTTTATCATCAACCACCTAGACCAGTGTTGCATTCACACCACGACCATGTTCTCAATAGGCGGAGAGATAGCCATTTCGATGCCGTGCTTGAGGGTTTCATGGAGAGCCAAAGAAAAACTAGCCGCGACATTGAGACAAAGCTAGAGTTCACGCGATACGAACTAGATGGAAGACTTGGAGAACTCTCTACCCAAATAGAGAGAGTAGAGTCAAGATGCTTGGACATGGAGGAAGATTTGAAGAAGCAAGGCGAGGCCATTGAAGACAGTAGGAGAGCGATACACTTTACCAAAGTTTCTACCAAGGAGATGGACAATCACTTAGATGAGAAGATCACAAGTCTTGATAACAACCTCGATGGCACCACCAAGAGTCTCAATTCAATAACAGCAGTAGCTCATCAAGCTAAGAGGGAGGTAGCCGAAGTAACCCTAAAAGAGAGGCAATGTTACTCGACGATGCTTACATTGGTGGAAGGGCAAAAACAAGTGAAGGCACAAATCCGAGATTTACACATCTCTCTAGACAAGAGGAGCCAAGATATTCAAAGAAGAGCTAGAGGGCTTGAAGACAAAGTAGATGGAGTCTCCAAGGAAGTCAAGGATTTAACCACTCGCTTAGCCAACTTGGAAGAGAAGGTCTTGACCGAGGCAAAGACGACCGTTCTAAGCACAACCATGCCGCGTCCGTCTTTACTATAAGAGAGACCGACCCAAGAGTGATTTGGGATGAAGAAGAAAGGAGAGCTGATCAAGAAAGAGCCACAAGGCTAACCACTGGAACAAGAGAGAAGATAGCACCAAAAGGAAGAACCCTTACTCAAAGGTCTTCACAACCGCCTCCCACCAAGGAGAAGAGGAAGACAAGATCATCACTTGAAGAGATCATAGATGATTTCAACTTTATGGCGAGGAGATTCCCTTATGGTGTGCCGTTTGATAATGCTTGCAACAAGAGTCCATTCATGCAAGACCTAGCTTGGACACAAGATTGGAGTCTAGCTGATATGGGTATATCAGGAACGCGGCCCATTCAAGAACTTGGAGAGCAAGCTCAAGCGGCTAAAGAGAAATGGAAACTTTCCTCTTCTGCGCGCGCTCAACTTTGCCGACCTAGACCCGCTCTCTACCTATATATACTTGCTTTTAGCCTCTTGTAATAAGAATCACCAGCCGAATAACAAGAAACACATATTCAATAAAGTTCGGAGCCACTTAGGTTGTCTCCTTCTTCTTTCTTTTCTTCTTTTGCATTTGTATATAGCTTGCATGTTTCAATTTATATAGTCTAGAAGTAGAGATTTCTCCCTAAGGGTGAGGCGTGGTTTAGTCTATATTCCGCCGCCTCTCTCTCTAAGGATTCATGAGACTTCATCTACTATCTAAGACTCATTGTTGAATTATGGATCCTTCCAATGAGGACGTGATATAATGGCCATCGAAAATCGATTGTTAAAAGGGGAAACCCTATGGTTCTCCATCTTTATTTATGCTTAATGCCTGTTGCTAGAGTAGTGATATCACCATATTTTACATGATTTTACTATATAATTACTATGTTTTCAAACGGTTTTTGCAAGATTCTTTGCCTTTAGAGGTAGTTTTCTTGTATTTGTGGGATTTGAAGTCTTTGTAGGTGAAACCATCAAAAAGGATGCAAAAAGGAGTAAAAGAGCCCTAAATCAAGATCCATGCAAGTTTCCAAGTCAAGAAGATCATTTTATCTCCAAGTGTTAGTTCTCGCTGCGCGCAGAACGAAGCTTCGGAAGTTTGGCCGCGCGCGGAGGAGTTCCCGACGTCCAAAAGTTACGATCTTGATATGGAAAGATAGATACTTGAGTCATGCATCACGTCGAAGTGGAATGAAGCCATTTGGATCAACTATGAGGCCTAGACTTATTTTCTACCGAGACATGTCCGGTAAGCGAGTAAACGAAGCCCATGGAGGATTTGGAGTGTCTAATGGCCCGAGCAGCAGCGCCAAAGGCCTTGATCGAATAGAGAAGAGGCCTGGCTAATGTTTGGAGCTTTCCTTGGTACAATGTCGGCCCATACACGACGTGGAGAAGAAGGCTTTGCTCGCGGGAAACTTTCCTTTTCCGGCATGAAGAAAACCCTACGCGACTTCGCCCATATATACATGTTTTTAGCCGCTGAAGAAGAGAGAGAGTCCGAAAATTATCAAAGAGTGTACGTGTGAGAAGAGAGTTCAGAGGAGAGAAGCCCTAGGAGATCGTCCAAGAAGAAGGAGGCGCCGCTCAACTCTTGTTCTTTCTTTTTCATTGTTTCCATTTCTATAAACTTGATCTTAAGAGTTTTCAAGGGAGAATCCGACTTTGTTCATCAATAGAGAAGCTTTCTTCATCCCTTTATCTCTTTTAATACTTGCATAATGTTTACAATCATGCTTTGCTTGCTTGTTTGCATCATGGCCGAGTAGATCTCTTAGTTAGGCCGAGGAGATCTATGGTGGCCGTGATGATTTGATTGTGTTGCAACTTATTGGGATTTATCTTATGGATCTTCACCTTTACTTGAGCTTAATGCATGATTACTCTACCGTACATCTAGTAATCTGATCTTAGAGAAATAGAACCACGACAGTGCTGAATCTAGATCTCAAAACTAGTATTTGGTGAGCAATAGATCATAGCCAACGAAAGCTGAGTTATGGTTTATTGTGAACAATTGAATCTTGATCACTTTAATGCATGTTTGCAATTCTAATAGCCAACGAAAGCTGAGTATATTAGGTTGTTTTAAACATAGTGGTTGGAGCCACGACAGTGGAAAGACCATACACTAGTGATTCATGTTCAAGACGGCTCTACACACATCCCATGCAACTATCTTTTCATCATTGCTCCATATGATTGTCCTTTGCCTAACTCTTGTTTTAAATTGTTTACAACTCACTCACATTTCTTTTGTTTTTTCTCATTCTAGGTCCAAAACCACCTCATATTGCGAGCTAGCTACAAACCAATCTCACAAGGTGTTAAGTGAGAACACTTCCTCCTCGTGTTCGACCCCGACTACAACACGGCTGTGCACTTGCAGCTCATTAGTTGGGTTTATAAATTGTGAAAATTTGAGGCAATCTAAACCCGCCATCAAGCTTTCTGGCGCCGTTGCCGGGGAGGAGTTGCTTTTCCTTCACACCTCTTGATTGATTTCAAGACTAGCTCATCTCATCTTTCACTTTTCTTTGTTTTTGTTTTTCATAAAATCTTAAAAACTCATAAAAATTTTACTTAACTCTCTCTTTGTGTGTTTCTAAGGTGCATGACAAGAAGGTCCAATCCAAATACAACCATTGAAGAAGATCTTGACATTGACCAACTTGAGCGCACACTTAGGCGACTAAGGAGAGAAAGAATGAATCCAGGCGGAGAAGGCGCGCCAAATAGGCCAAACAACCCGCCCGACCAAGAGAGGAGAGCCAATGATCCTCCTAATCCAGCAGAAGCTAGAGCTGACCAGCCAGCACCGGCCAGAGACGTTCCTCCGCCCAATCCGAACGCGCCCGATGCAGCTGAGCCGCTACAGCCACCTCTTAACCCGCCGCGACCACCACCGGCGTTTGCAAATGGACATCATCGTCACGGTGACAACCAAGGGATGCCTCAAGACCAACCTCACGCACCTCCAAGGAGAGTGCCAAACGCGCAGCATCCAAGGCACCAAACTATGGGAGACTTTGATTCGTCCGATGCTTTCTTTATGGATCGGAATCCAATCCGACCGCCTCTACCTCCAAGGAACGATTTTGAGATCAAACCGCAGATCATTGCCTTGGTGAAGCAAAACCAATTCCATGGTTTGCCCACTGAGCATCCTCTTGATCACGTCGACACCTTTGAGGAGATATGTAGCACAACTCGTGTTAATGGAGTATCGCCGGATTACTTCAAGTGCAAGCTATTCACTTTTTCTCTAAGTGACAAGGCGCTAAGATGGGTAAAATCTTTACCACCTCAGTCCATTACAACATGGAATGAATACAAGGGAGCTTTCTTGAACCAATTCTACACTAAGCAAAGATCCAACTCTATAAGGAGCAAGATTTCTGGTTTCAAGCAAGATTCAATGGAGTCATTCTATGAAGCTTTGGAGAGATTCAAGGAGTACACAAGAAGCTGCCCTAACCATGGCTTTTCAGAAGGTAACCTTTGGAACATCTTTTACAATGGGATTGATCATAAATACAAGCTTTCTCTCGATACCGCGAGCAATGGTAATTTCATGACCAAGTCGGTGCCGGAGGCAAAGCTTTTGATTGAGAATCTCGCTGCTAGTGATGCCAATGCATGCCCTGACTACAATAGAAGCGTGAAGACCACGAGCTCATCAGAATCAGCTCAAATCTCGGAGCTAAGGAACATGGTCTCACAACTACTCAAAAGCCGACAAGGAGTTCACGCCATTGAAGATGCCCTAGCCACAAATGAAGACACTCTTATGGATTTCATGAGAGATGGCGCTGAAGAGAATCTAGAGGAAGTCAACTACATTGGAGGAAACTATGGGAATAGAGGATTCAATCCACCATTTCGCGCGCATCCAAACCTATCATACCGGAGCAACAATGTGGAGAATCCAAATGACCAAGTCTACCCCAATCAAGGAGCGTATCAAGGAGGCCAATACCAATCCAAGCCACAACAAGTCTATCCAAGAGCCACGACAGTGGAAAGACCATACACTAGTGATTCATGTTCAAGACGGCTCTACACACATCCTATGCAACTATCTTTTCATCATTGCTCCATATGATTGTCCTTTGCCTAACTCTTGTTTTAAATTGCTTACAACCTTACCTACATTTCTTTTGTTTCACTTTCTCATTCTAGGTCCCAAAACCACCTCATATTGCGAGCTAGCTACAAACCAATCTCACAAGGTGTTAAGTGAGAACACTTCCTCCTCGTGTTCGACCCCGACTACAACACGGCTGTGCACTTGCAGCTCATTAGTTGGGTTTATAAATTGTGAAAATTTGAGGCAATCTAAACCCACCATCAAGTAGCTAACTAGTGACTTGATTTTAGGTTGATATACTCTCCAAAAGCTTGTTATATCTCCGGATATAGTATTTGATGGGCAAATCGTTTTAGGCTACGAAAGTAGACCTAAAGAGTTTTGTGAACAATCATTACTTGGATGTAATGCATGTCTCACTCTACAATGACCAACGAAAGCTGAGCCCATTGGTTTAAGAGACATAGGGGATTGGAACCACGAAAGTGGAATAATCCTTCCTTAGTGTTTTGAGTTCAAAAGAATCGGATTTTAACAAACTTTTCAATCGACTTGGCTCATGTTTTCAAAAGAGTTTTCAATAGTTCAATAATGTTGCTTGTATAGAATTGCATTGTTATTTGCTTTTGCGTGTTCTCAACAAACACAACCCCTTGCATATTTTGATTTAGCTTAGACATTTAAACTCTATGATTATGTAATGTGTGAAATCCAATCCCTTGTGGTTCGACCCCTAAATACTACAATTATATGTTGTGCACTTGCAACACTAGTTGTCTTAGGGAATTATTACTTGTACTCATCCCATAGATGCCGCATCAGCACCTGAAGAGTCATATTTTGTTTTCAAACTTTCATTTATTACTTTGTGTGTTTCCAAGATGGTCATTGGAGCTTGTTCCGTGACTCATCTCTTCTCTCTTCTCTCCCTTTATATTCTGGACGAAATTCTCTTTCATGTTATCAATCCTTTTAATCAAAAACCCTTTTGTTTTTTGAATCAAACCTCTTAGTGTGTAATATCAAAGAAATCCTTGGTATTCTTAAGGTGTGTAATATCCTTAGGAGTTCTAGGCCTTGTCCATCTCTTGGTGTGTAATATCCTTGAGATCAACAAGATTGGTGTTGCGAGATCCTTCCGCAGATCTCTTGTTATAGCCATTCAATCATCCATCATCACGCCACATCCATTCAAGTTCATTCCATCATCCCTTCATTCCATCTTTCCATCAATCCATCATCCAAACTTGCTTCAAAGTGCCGATCTATAATCAGGGGTCTATCAGAAGGTATTCCCATCGGTTCGGACGCGATGGCTTTGCGTCGGCTTACTCCTCATGGATGATCAGTCCGTTTACTTTCGTTTTTGTTTCGCTCGGGCTGGCGCTTTGGCGAGACCGGTTTTCTCGGGCTCGTGCTTTGATGAGACCGGTATTGGTTTCTCGGGCTCGCGCTTTGACGAGACCGGTTTTCTCAGGATCATACTTTGACGAGACCCGGTTTTGTTTCGTCGGGACGTTTGGCCAGAATGTCGACGTGTACCTTTGAAGGTGAATAAAATTTACAATGCTCATCTCGTGAGACGGATTATAAAATTTTATTGGAGTTATAGCTGAACATTTGGAAAGGCTGACTACGTACCCATGTCGGGATGAAGCCATTCGTAGTTCGTTGCGACGAGTAGGGAGTACTACGCCACCTTTTTTTTTGTTCTCGGTCATTTTTGTATGCGGAGATGTTTACCGGACTTACCGTTTCGGCGGCGGAGGCAGATCATCTGGGCGAGGGAGTGGTTCAGGCGCGTTCTTCTCGGCGTCGTCATCTTGATCTTGGCGCGACATATTTTTACGTCCGCGCTGGTTTGCAGCTCGTCGATTTTCGTCCCGGCATTCAACATCACTTTGGCTTTGCGGAATATATTCTTTGTTGTACTCTAGTATCATGTTGTTGACGTGCCTTTATTCTTCTCTAGTATGACCGGTTTGTCCGTGGAGGTTGCACCATTTGGTATCGTCGTTACCCTCTCCTTCGTGTCGTGGAAGACTCAAAAGTCGAGGGTTGAGGTATAGAAGTTTGTAGAAGTGATAATCTTATTGATAGGTGAATGATACAATTTATACAAGAGCTCCTACGCTAGGGCTTTACATTACTAGTCAATGAGAATATACTTATTTACATAAATAGCTGCATAAGATCAGGGATGATTGATATGATATGATTTATCATTAATACGCCCCCTCAAGATGGAGGTGGGTGAACAACTCCAATCTTGTTCGACAACTTGGTGAAGGGTTATTCGTGACAATGGCTTTGTAAGAGCATCAGCTAACTGATCTTTTGTATTGACATGGACCACCCGAAGCGTACCTGATTGAACTTGATTTCAAATGAAGTGGTAGTCTAAGGCAAGATGCTTCATCCGTGAGTGAAAAACGGGATTGGCACATAGATACGTGGCGCCAGCGTTATCACAATAGATCACCGGAACTGTCGGAAGCTGAATATGTAGTTCTTGGAGTAGCGAGACGATCCAAATGAGCTCAACGGAAGTATTCGCAACAGACATATACTCTGCTTCCGTTGATGACCGTGCAACTCCACGTTGTTCCTTTGACGACCAAGACACCGGTTGACTTCTAAGATAAACAATGTGAGCATTGGTGGAGACATAATCATCAGAGTCACCTCCCCAATCAGCATCTGAGAATGCGTGAAGAGTCATCGGATTATTTTTAGGTAAGAAAATCCCATGAGCCGCAGTCCCAGCCAAGTACTGAAGCACTCTCTTTACCGCTTGCCAGTGATTTGTCGTGGGTTTGTGCATGAAGAGAGACAAGCGATTGACAGCATACAAGAGATCAGGTAGAGTAAACGCCAAGTATTGAAGAGAGCCGACAACACGTCTATACTCTGTCGGATTTAATTGTTGGGCCTGGGCTTGGTACGTGGTTGCTGTTTGAGGGACATTAGGTGAGGTGTTATTTGTGGGTGGCTGTGGCTGGGTTGTGGGTTGCGGCCCCTTTTCAGTAGAAGCAGTGGGCTTAGAGGAAGTGTGAGGAGAAACGGAAGAGTTTGGGAGATAAGGCAATACCTGATTCAACGACGGCGGCGGCGGCGGAGCGTTGTGGTGAAGGTCTACACACGGGTCCGTTGGCGGAGGCAGAACAGGCGACGGGAGAAGAGGCTGAATTATCAAGGAACCAGTAGCTACAGTGGCATCTTCTTCATCTGGAGACATGTTATCTGGTTTCAGGTTGACTGAGAACGGGAACTGATTTTCGTCAAAGATGACATGTCTAGAGGTATACATTCTGCCCGACGGTGTGTGGAGACAGAGATAGGCGCTTTGTGTAGTAGAATACCCCATAAACACACACTGAAGAGAACGATCTTCCATCTTGTGCCGTGTATAGGGACGAAGCCACGGATAGCACACACATCCGAAGACTTTGAGTTTGTGATAATTCGGTTGCATCCCAAACAGCTTCTCAAACGGTGACTGGAGATCCAGAACTGGAGTCGGAAGTCTATTGATCAGATAGACCGCCGTAGAAAATGCAAACGGCCAGAATTTCTTAGGAACCGCTGCCGTTGATAAGAGTGTGAGCCCCATCTCGACGATGTGCCTATGCTTCCTCTCTGAGACGCCATTGTGTTCAGGCGTATGGGGCGGTGAGGTGAGATGTGAAATCCCACTTGTCTTGAGATAGTCCCTGAGTGCTTTAAATTCTCCTCCATTGTCTGTGAAGAATGTTCCAATCCGAGTTTGAAACTTGTTCTCCACCAGCGGCTTGAAAGCCATGAACGTCTCTTTCACTTGGGATTTTCTCTTCAATGGATAGAGCCAAGTATATCTGGTATAATGATCAACAATCACCAGGTAATACTTGAAATCATCCACTGAGATAATAGGTGAGCTGCATACATCTGAGAAGAGAATTTCAAGTGGTCAGGTTGATGTAATAGTTGTTTGCGAGAATGGTAACTTGTGACTTTTATTGATGCAGCAATAGAACAAGACATTTTTGATTGAGAAGAAGAAGCAACTGGGAGAGAGAAACTCGAGACAATGTTGTTTAAAATGGAGGACGACGGATGGCCTAGTCGATTATGCCACGATGAAAGTGTAGTTGTTGGATTCGTGGATGCACCAAAAGCTGTTTTAAGCAGTGAGACAGGCCATTCATAGAGCTCCTTATTCGTTCTGCCTCGGATTAACGGGACACCCGTGTGAAGATCCTTCACCTGAAACGAAGCAGGGAAGAATTCGACTGAGACTCGGTTAGCATTGCATAATTGATACACAGATATGAGATTCTTAGCAACACGAGCTAAGCATAACACTTTATTTAAGGTCAAATCTCTAGTTTGAGAGGGAAGAGATACTGAACCCGTATGTGTGATTGGAACTGTAGATCCATCCGCAAGGATCACATCATCTCCACTATTGTATGGCTGATGCAGAGATAAATTGTGAAGATCCGAGTTGATATGGTGAGTAGCACCGCTATCAACTACCCAATTCGGTGGTAAGTATGGAGACGCGACTGCTACATTGGCTCGTGGCTGCCACATATTGGTTGGTGGTTGCATCTGCAGTGATTGGTTAGCTTGAAGCTGAGGGCATCGACGCGCGCTATGACCTTGAACGTTGCAGATCTGACATTTCCGAAGGTATGGTCTTTGTCCACGACCTTGAGATTGCCAATTTTGCTGAGGTTGTTGTTGCCACTGGTTCTGTGCAGGTTGTGGGTGAGCTCCAGTGTTGTTGTATGGCCTTGACTTGTTATGGTTCCGGTTGTAGTGATTATTCTGACGGTGTTGTACTGCATTTGCTGTTGCAGGAACATGTGTCAGAGAATTCTCCGGAGTTAGCATGAGCTTAGCATGATCAGAGATTGATCTTGTATGTGATATCTCCTATTTTACTCGGGCCAATTGAGTTCTGCTTCGACCGAACTGTTTTTCTATCCCTCCTGGATTGAATTGTGGTTGGATTTCCCTCATCTCTCATGTTTGGCATGTAAATCCTCCTTTGGCCGGTTGTGGCTTCCTTGCGCGCCATGTTTGTTTGATGTTTTGAACCGGTTCTCCTGTCATATTTAATCTGAAAAACACTAGTAACTTTTTGTTAAACTCTGTCAATGATTGAGTTGTTCAAAATGTTTGAACTTCCCAATCAAAGACTTGATCGTGAAACCATATGTACTTGGGATCTTGATCAGAAATCCAAGTAGTGTCATGGTTTAATTTGATAGAAATAGTGTTTAAAAGATGACATAAGAATGGAAGTGATACTTACCTTTGCCTTGTGCAATAGTGTTCCAATGGCCGGATTTTTGTGCCGCGGCCCTTCTTGGATTCTTTGCTTCTTGAAACATGGGTGGGACTTGGGTGGGACTCAAACTAGACTCAATGCTTCAACTTAGACCAAAGATGGTTAATCTTGGGCCGATTGTGGCGATGTAGCTTTCCAATGCATTTTTCATGTAAGCCTCCTTTTTGGTACTTTTTCCTAAAACACTTTTTATTTTATTTTTGTAAAATTTATTAAACTCTCAAAAATTTAAGAGTTATAAATAGAACAAATAAGTAGTTATAAAAATAAAAACAAAAATAAAAAGAGGAAGGGATAAGAAAATGTGGGTTGCCTCCCACAAGCGCTTGTTTTAAGTCTTTGTAGCTCGACTCCTTTGTGTTCTTAGTTAGGTAGGATTGGTGGCTCCAAGAACTTCCTGTTGCCTGATGATTCCAAGTGCATCTTGTCCTGTAGAACTTCCTTGATCAAGTAGCCATGCGACTCTCCTCTTACTTGTGAGCACTCTCCTCCACTTGTGTAGCGAAATCGCTTGGATGAGAAACCGGGAGGTGCAGCATCGTAGAAGGTGTCCTTGTCAACATTGGCTAGAGAGATTCTTCTATTAGGCCAATCCATGATCGCTCCAGCTGTGGCTAGGAATGATCTTCCAAGCAAAAGCTTTAAGTCCTCCGGATCCTTCATGGTTACTACATAGAAGTTGGCTGGAACTATGCAGCCTCCAAAATCAAGCTGAATGTCTTTAACCTCTCCAAGTGGTTCGGTCAATGATGAATCAGCTAGCTTTAAATCCATTCGAGATTTCACAATTGAATTGATCAATCCCAACTTCTTGGCTATCTCGGCCGGCATAAGGTTCACACTAGAACCGGAATCGCAAAGAGCATCATCAAAGTAGCTTCCATTGATAGAGAAATGTATAAGGAAGTAACCTGGGTCATGAAGCTTGTGTAGAAACCTAGGTTTAGGCATTCCCTTTCTTGCTTCCTCGTACATCTTTTCCAATTCAGCTAGACTCCAATCTTGTGTCCAAGCTAGGTCTTGCATGAATGGACTCTTGTTGCAAGCATTATCAAACGGCACACCATAAGGGAATCTCCTCGCCATAAAGTTGAAATCATCTATGATCTCTTCAAGTGATGATCTTGTCTTCCTCTTCTCCTTGGTGGGAGGCGGTTGTGAAGACCTTTGAGTAAGGGTTCTTCCTTTTGGTGCTATCTTCTCTCTTGTTCCAGTGGTTAGCCTTGTGGCTCTTTCTTGATCAGCTCTCTCTCTTCTTCATCCCAAATCACTCTTGGGTCGGTCTCTCTTATAGTAAAGACGGGCGCGGCATGGTTGTGCTTAGGAACGGTCGTCTTTGCTCGGTCAAGACCTTCTCTTCCAAGTTGGCTAAGCGAGTGGTTAAATCCTTGACTTCCTTGGAGACTCCATCTACTTTGTCTTCAAGCCCTCTAGCTCTTCTTTGAATATCTTGGCTCCTCTTGTCTAGAGAGATGTGTAAATCTCGGATTTGTGCCTTCACTTGTTTTTGCCCTTCCACCAATGTAAGCATCGTCGAGTAACATTGCCTCTCCTTTAGGGTTACTTCGGCTACCTCCCTCTTAGCTTGATGAGCTACTGCTGTTATTGAATTGAGACTCTTGGTGGTGCCATCGAGGTTGTTATCAAGACTTGTGATCTTCTCATCTAAGTGATTGTCCATCTCCTTGGTGGAAACTTTGGTAAAGTGTATCGCTCTCCTATTGTCTTCAATGGCCTCGCCTTGCTTCTTCAAATCTTCCTCCATGTCCAAGCATCTTGACTCTACTCTCTCTATTTGGGTAGAGAGTTCTCCAAGTCTTCCATCTAGTTCGTATCGCGTGAACTCTAGCTTTGTTCAATGTCGCGGCTAGTTTTTCTTTGGCTCTCCATGAAACCCTCAAGCACGGCATCGAAATGGCTATCTCTCCGCCTATTGAGAACATGGTCGTGGTGTGAATGCAACACTGGTCTAGGTGGTTGATGATAAACCGGAGGTCGGTTTTGATGATGATGGTAATGATGCTCGTCTCGGCTAGGTCCTTCAAACGTCGGATGAGCGCGGTTGGGAGGGAACGGATGTGGCACGATGTTACGGCTGGGTCTTGGTAACTCCGGCCGTGGAGATCGTGTGGGATCAGTGTCCGGTTCCCAAAGTGGATGTTGGTGTTGTGATTCATCTCCAAGTACCTATAAACACAAGATTTAAAAAGAAAAAGTTAGTATTCGAAAATACCAAGATCTAGACTTAGTTTTAAACAAGACTATGCAAGTGTTTATGATGCAATCCCCGGCAACGGCGCCAAAAACTTGATGCGGCATCTATGGGATGAGTACAAGTAATAATTCCCTAAGACAACTAGTGTTGCAAGTGCACAACATATAATTGTAGTATTTAGGGGTCGAACCACAAGGGATTGGATTTCACACATTACATAATCATAGAGTTTAAATGACTAAGCTAAATCAAAAGATGCAAGGGTTTGTGTTTGTTTAGAACACAAAAGAAATAACAATGCAATTCTATACAAGCAACATTATTGAACTATTGAAAACTCTTTTGAAAACATGAGCCAAGTCGATTGAAAAGTTTGTTAAAATCCGATTCTTTTGAACTCAAAACACTAAGGAAGGATTATTCCACTTTCGTGGTTCCAATCCCCTATGTCTCTTAAACCAATGGGCTCAGCTTTCGTTGGTCATTGTAGAGTGAGACATGCATTACATCCAAGTAATGATTGTTCACAAAACTCTTTAGGTCTACTTTCGTAGCCTAAAACGATTTGCCCATCAAATACTATATCCGGAGATATAACAAGCTTTTGGAGAGTATATCAACCTAAAATCAAGTCACTAGTTAGCTACTCTAGCAACAGCATTAAGCATAAATAAAGATGGAGAACCATAGGGTTTCCCCTTTTAACAATCGATTTTCGATGGCCATTATATCACGTCCTCATTGGAAGGATCCATAATTCAACAATGAGTCTTAGATAGTAGATGAAGTCTCATGAATCCTTAGAGAGAGAGGCGGCGGAATATGAGTCTAAACGCCTCACCTCTTAGGGAGAAATCTCTACTTCTAGACTATATAAATTGAAACATGCAAGCTATATACAAATGCAAAAGAAGAAAAGAAAGAAGAAGGAGACCACCTAAGTGGCTCCGAACTTTATTGAATGTGTTTCTTGTTATGCGGCTGGTGATTCTTATTACAAGAGGCTAAAAGCAAGTATATATAGGTAGAGAGCGGGTCTAGGTCGGCAAAGTTGAGCGCGCGCAGAAGAGGAAAGTTTCCATTTCTCTTTAGCCGCTTGAGCTTGCTCTCCAAGTTCTTGAATGGGCCGCGTTCAGGCCAATGGAAGCTTCTGGATTGAGTTATGCTAGTGTCAAGATGAGCCAAGGCCTTGGGCGCGGTATCTCGGGCCTCTTGATCCATCAAAGTCTCCATGGGCTCTACTTAGGCGCTCGTCGGACATGTCTTGGTAGAAAATAAGTTCCGGTCCAACGAGTGATCCAAATGACCTCTTTCCACTTCGCCGCGGGTCATGACTCAAATATCTATCTTTCCATATAAGAATCATGACTTTTGGACGTCGGGAAGGCATGAATATGCGGTCGTACTTCGGATGCTCCGGTTTGGTCTTTAGCGAGAAATGTAGATTTGGTGCTCTAGACTTGGGAACTTGGTGATTTGACTCTTTTTGCTCCATTTTGGACTCTTCTTTGCTATTTTGACCTGAATGATGCTCAAAACCAGAATATACAAGAAAACTACCTCTTGGGCATAAAAACCACATTATTTGTATTAAAAACATAGTGAAAACCTTGATAAAAACATGAAAGATATGGGTATATCAACTCCCCCAGACTTAGCCTTTTGCTTGTCCCCAAGCAAACTAAGAGAGGAAGAGAGGTTTGAAAACGCAAGAACTCTCAAATCATTAGGAAATCCGGGTTGGCTTGGTTTTAGTAATCCACATGAAAGTAGTAAAGGCAAATATTTGAATTAAGAACAAGAGTACATACCATGAGTTTTGCGATTTTTCCCAAGGCGGCCCACCTCTCTTTGGACAATCCAATTCACCCTCCTTGACTCCTTTCATTTCTAAAGGTGTGGTCTCAACTAGGGAGTATCGATCAGCCGGCTTTAGACTCTTACTCATCCCCTTGTTTGGCACTTGTCTTTTTACTCCATGTTTCTCCTCTCTCTCTTCTCACTTCTTTGAGTTGATTCATCCCTTTTTTAGGGTAGCGAAGTATTTTTTTATTCAACTCCTTCTCTTTATTATAGAGGTTTTGCTTGGATCTTCCACAGACGCGAGTATTGATGGTGTTTGCCACCGAATCCCCGGTTGCTTGGATTCATAGGCCTTCCATAGACGCGAGTATTGATGGTGTTTGCCACCGAATCCCCGGTTACTTGGACCTTACGCTTTTTCTTTAAATTTGAAGGGGAGAGAGAGGGAAGCACGAACTCACTAAGACTTTTTCATTTGATGGAGAGGATGAGGAATCATGCCATTTGTATGCCAAGCCCCTAGCTGAGAAGATTAAGTTCATTAAGGGCGGAGTCAAGAGTGGATCCTTCTCAAGTCCTTGGAGGTGTGGGCGTTTTTGGTAGATCGATCAACTCATAGTGTCCCTGTGGTAAGATGTATTGCCAAGACTGCTTCAATGGTCACTTAAACGTTAGCACAACAATGGTTAGATCCAAGATAAGGTCATAATCCTTTGACAAAATTTTGACTCAATAAAACGACTCAATGAAAAGCCAAAAGAACAAACTTGTTAGTAATCCCCCCAGACTTAACTTGCACCGTCCCGGTGTAAGAAAAATCCAATTAAGAGAGGTGAAAAAGAAATGAATGGAAAAGTTAGAGTTTGTAGAAAATTGTACCGAAATTGTTGCCATTGATGTGAAGATCGGTTGCGTGATATCACCATATTTTACATGATTTTACTATATAATTACTATGTTTTCAAACGGTTTTTGCAAGATTCTTTGCCTTTAGAGGTAGTTTTCTTGTATTTGTGGGATTTGAAGTCTTTGTAGGTGAAATAATCAAAAAGGATGCAAAAAGGAGTAAAAGAGCCCTAAATCAAGATCCATGCAAGTTTCCAAGTCAAGAAGATCATTTTATCTCCAAGTGTTAGTTCTCGCTTGCGCGCAGAACGAAGCTTCGGAAGTTTGGCCGCGCGCGGAGGAGTTCCCGACGTCCAAAAGTTACGATCTTGATATGGAAAGATAGATACTTGAGTCATGCATCACGTCGAAGTGGAATGAAGCCATTTGGATCAACTATGAGGCCTAGACTTATTTTCTACCGAGACATGTCCGGTAAGCGAGCAAACGAAGCCCATGGAGGATTTGGAGTGTCTAATGGCCCGAGCAGCAGCGCCAAAGGCCTTGATCGAATAGAGAAGAGGCCTGGCTAATGTTTGGAGCTTTCCTTGGTACAATGTCGGCCCATACACGACGTGGAGAAGAAGGCTTTGCTCGCGGGAAACTTTCCTTTTCCGGCATGAAGAAAACCCTACGCGACTTCGCCCATATATACATGTTTTTAGCCGCTGAAGAAGAGAGTCGAGTCCGAAAATTATCAAAGAGTTACGTGTGAGAAGAGAGCAGAGGAGAGAAGCCCTAGGAGATCGTCCAAGAAGAAGGAGGCGCCGCTCAACTCTTGTTCTTTCTTTTTCATTGTTTCCATTTCTATAAACTTGATTTAAGAGTTTTCAAGGGAGAATCCGACTTTGTTCATCAATAGAGAAGCTTTCTTCATCCCTTTATCTCTTTTAATACTTGCATAATGTTTACAATCATGCTTTGCTTGCTTGTTTGCATCATGGCCGAGTAGATCTCTTAGTTAGGCCGAGGAGATCTATGGTGGCCGTGATGATTTGATTGTGTTGCAACTTATTGGGATTTATCTTATGGATCTTCACCTTTACTTGAGCTTAATGCATGATTACTCTACCGTACATCTAGTAATCTGATCTTAGAGAAATAGAACCACGACAGTGCTGAATCTAGATCTCAAAACTAGTATTTGGTGAGCAATAGATCATAGCCAACGAAAGCTGAGTTATGGTTTATTGTGAACAATTGAATCTTGATCACCTTTAATGCATGTTTGCAATTCTAATAGCCAACGAAAGCTGAGTATATTAGGTTGTTTTAAACATAGTGGTTGGAGCCACGACAGTGGAAAGACCATACACTAGTGATTCATGTTCAAGACGGCTCTACACACATCCCATGCAACTATCTTTTCATCATTGCTCCATATGATTGTCCTTTGCCTAACTCTTGTTTTAAATTGTTTACAACTCACTCACATTTCTTTTGTTTTGTTTTCTCATTCTAGGTCCAAAACCATCTCATATTGCGAGCTAGCTACAAACCAATCTCACAAGGTGTTAAGCGAGAACACTTCCTCCTCGTGTTCGACCCCGACTACAACACGGCTGTGCACTTGCAGCTCATTAGTTGGGTTTATAAATTGTGAAAATTTGAGGCAATCTAAACCCGCCATCAAGCTTTCTGGCGCCGTTGCCGGGGAGGAGTTGCTTTTCCTTCACACCTCTTGATTGATTTCAAGACTAGCTCATCTCATCTTTCACTTTTCTTTGTTTTTGTTTTTCATAAAATCTTAAAAACTCATAAAAATTTTACTTAACTCTCTCTCTTTGTGTGTTTCTAAGGTGCATGACAAGAAGGTCCAATCCAAATACAACCATTGAAGAAGATCTTGACATTGACCAACTTGAGCGCACACTTAGGCGACTAAGAGAGAAAGAATGAATCCAGGCGGAGAAGGCGCGCCAAATAGGCCACACAACCCGCCCGACCAAGAGAGGAGAGCCAATGATCCTCCTAATCCAGCAGAAGCTAGAGCTGACCAGCCAGCACCGGCCAGAGACGTTCCTCCGCCCAATCCGAACGCGCCCGATGCAGCTGAGCCGCTACAGCCACCTCTTAACCCGCCGCGACCACCACCGGCGTTTGCAAATGGACATCATCGTCACGGTGACAACCAAGGGATGCCTCAAGACCAACCTCACGCACCTCCAAGGAGAGTGCCAAACGCGCAGCATCCAAGGCACCAAACTATGGGAGACTTTGATTCTTCCGACGCTTTCTTTATGGATCGGAATCCAATCCGACCGCCTCTACCTCCAAGGAACGATTTTGAGATCAAACCACAGATCATTGCCTTGGTGAAGCAAAACCAATTCCATGGTTTGCCCACTGAGCATCCTCTTGATCACGTCGACACCTTTGAGGAGATATGTAGCACAACTCGTGTTAATGGAGTATCGCCGGATTACTTCAAGTGCAAGCTATTCACTTTTTCTCTAAGTGACAAGGCGCTAAGATGGGTAAAATCTTTACCACCTCAGTCCATTACAACATGGAATGAATACAAGGGAGCTTTCTTGAACCAATTCTACACTAAGCAAAGATCCAACTCTATAAGGAGCAAGATTTCTGGTTTCAAGCAAGATTCAATGGAGTCCTTCTATGAAGATTTGGAGATATTCAAGGAGTACACAAGAAGCTGCCATAACCATGGCTTTTCAGAATGTAACCTTTGGAACATCTTTTACAATGGGATTGATTATAAATACAAGCTTTCTCTCGATACCGCGAGCAATGGTAACTTTATGACCAAGTCGGTGCCGGAGGCAAAGCTTTTGATCGAGAATCTCGCTGCTAGTGATGCCAATGCATGCCCTGACTACAATAGAAGCGTGAAGACCACGAGCTCATCAGAATCAGCTCAAATCTCGGAGCTAAGGAACATGGTCTCACAACTACTCAAAAGCCGACAAGGAGTTCACGCCATTGAAGATGCCCTAGCCACAAATGAAGACACTCTTATGGATTTCATGAGAGATGGCGCTGAAGAGAATCTAGAGGAAGTCAACTACATTGGAGGAAACTATGGGAATAGAGGATTCAATCAACCATTTCGCGCGCATCCAAACCTATCATACCGGAGCAACAACGTGGAGAATCCAAGTGACCAAGTCTACCCCAATCAGCGTACAAGGAGGCCAATACCAATCCAAGCCACAACAAGTCTATTGATGATAGGATTTGTGTGTGGATGTGAAAAGATATGAAATGAGATGAGTGGAATGCAATCAGTGGTATATGATGAGGTGGTAAGATGCAAACACAAACACATCAACAATTCCCTTTAACCATCATAGTCATGTAGTACAAAGGGTTATCAATCCAAAATGGGAAACTTGTCACTCTATGAGAATATGAAACAACCAGGAAGTCAAGCAAGCAGTTAATAGATTTGAAGTAACACTAACAACCTAAAAAAATGAAAATGCAGTGCAATAAAAGTAAACAAAGCAGTGAAGTGTCAGCTCGACCAAGACTCGAGTCGAGTCAGACAAAGTACCAGCTCGATCGAGTTTAGGGACGAGTTGAGACAAACAAAGCTAAAGGTGACGACTTTAACAAGATAAAGAGAGAATTAGGGTTCAAGACAGGGTTTTGCAATCAAAGGAATCTACACTTAATCAATCTAGCTCTTAAAACTCCTTGTATCAAGGCTTCTCTTGATATTGGGCTTCTCAATGCCTAGCCAACCCTTTCCCAAGGTGGAGGCTATCAACCAAGGAATGATCTCAGAAACAGGGGGTTAGCCAGTGAGAATCAAACCTTGGAGGCTATAGGATCATTGCCCAAACTAATCCATCCAACCCCTTAGACCTCTATTGTCTAGAGCAAGAGATATTGGAGCTCTTAGTGGATCTTTTCCAGCGAATGCCATCACTTTCGTGTGGGGAGTCGCCTAAGGACTTACAAGCCAGGGGTAGTGGTCATGTAGCCTTAAGATCTATCCAAAAGAGAGAGAATCTAGATTAAGACCATAAGCTAGAAGGATTAAGCATATGAAACCTCTAATCTATCCCATCTCAAACCCTAATGGGTAACTACTCACTACACATGAATGTAAACACAAGCAAATGCAATAAAAGAGACATCATAAGAAAGAGGAGATGAAATTAAACAACTTTTATTGAAATAAGCAAGTGCAAATACAAAGAGAGATTATCCAGGATCTAAGGATTCAAGAAGCAAGAGCTTCAAGAACACAAAGATGGGATTAGATCTCTAAAAAGTAAAAGACAATAAATTAAAAGAAACTAAAACAAAAGTAATCTAAAGCTTGGTGGTTTTTTCGTGGCTTAGAGCCTTTAAATACAAGAGGATTAGGTTTAGGGTCAAAGGAAAGTCAAGGGGGAAGCAACATTTTTCGGGTTTGACTTTGACTTCCAGCTCGATCGAGTTGAAGCTTGGCCGGTCGAGTTGAGGAACTCGACCGGTTGGTCGAGTAGACGGTCGAGCTGGTCTTCAAGATGGCTTCTCCCTTCTTCCTTTGCGTATCCAGTTGAGCTGCTTCCATGTGCCAAGTCCCTCCATGCTCCTCATGTCCCATATGCTCCAGAATGCTCCAAAAGACCTATTTCAAAGGACCAAACATGCATATGTATGCAAATGCAACCTAAAACTAACATGAATGCATAAGAAGAGAAAAGGAACAAGATATGATGCAAATGGAAGCTAAAACTATGCAAAAGATGCATAAAAGATGTGCTAAAACTATGTAAAATGCAAGTACATCAACACCCCCAAACTTGAACTTTGCTTGCCCTCAAGCAAACAAATAGAACAAGAAAGAGATGAGGTTTGAAAATAAGCTGATTCAACACTTAAAAACATGTCCTCAAAAGCGATTTGCTAAATGTCCAACTTAGAGATTCTAGAATGCAACAAGGTGAGAGATATTCATTAAGATTTAACCATGCTTATCAACATCAATCCCACTTCACAGTCACTCAAACAATGCATTCAAATCAGCAAATCCCTTTAACATTCATTAAGCAAAAACAGTGAACCAAAAACATGCAAGATCAATCAACTCATTTGGTTTCAAGGGTTTATGGGTTAAGAGACAAAGAGGGTCTCTTTTGTATGGTGGTTTAGTAACAGGGATCTCTCAAGAAAGTGGCTTTGCTTTGGCAGAAGGCTAAGTGTTAGAACCAAAGATGATGCAAGAACAGCAGCTCGAGCCGCCTAATCCTAACTCGATCGAGTTCAACACTTAGAGCTTTTTAGAACAAAATCCTAACTACCCTTTTTGGCATTTCGCCTTTGAAACTGAGGAGCTTTGCTCACTTTTCTTTTAAGAACTTCCTAGGGAGAGGCTTCTTGAGGTAACATCTAGCGGTTTGGGATTTTCTAAACACTTAGGGAACTTTTCTTTCCTTTTTGACACTTGAGGCTTTGCCTTCTTTTCATTCTACTTAGAACCCTTTTTACTTCCTTTTTTAACTTCCCAAACCTTTACTAGACCCTTTTTAACACTGCCAACTCCCTGGACTAAACTCTTTTTCCTTTGGGTTTTTCCCAACTTTTACCACTTTTCTGGTTTTTGACACCCAACTCGATCGAGCTCGAGTTGGCACCCCCAAACTTAGCCTGAAAACAATCCCAAGAGAACTAGACAACTAGAACTACTGCCCCTGCCGGTTTAAACACAACACCTTATGCTAAGCAAAGCCAAGAAAGGTTCTCACATTCGCACAAGAGATAATATGGGGTTTGAAATGAAAAGGCTTAGGTTTAAGGTGTGGTAACTGTCTCAAAGATAGAGATCAGCTATCTGGACAAGCAAAAGGGATATGAAAATGGTAAAGAATGTCCAGATATGTATGTGGTAGCCATGAGTTGAAATCAAATGCAAGCATTGGTAATTAAAGATCAAGTTATGGTTCAAATAGATAGGGAAATGCATCAAATCACAGCAATGGTTGAATGAGATGTGCATGCAGTGATATGATCAAGATAAACATGGTTCTTGCTGCTCAATCAATCTCACCCTAATGCACAAAAGAATCTAAAAACAGGGCACTCAAGAAATCGCAAAAGATGGACAAGTTTTCAAAGTCAAATCAACAATGCAAGTGAAAAATGCAATCCTAAACAAGTCTAACAAATATGAATGCAAAAAGATGAAAATATTTTTGGATTTTTTGAAAATTTTATGATTTTTTTGGTTTTTCTATGCAAAAGATAAATGAAAAACTAAGAACAAAGAAAACAAGGTTAAATCATCTCTTGAACCCTCCCCCAAACTTAAATCACACAGTCCCTTGTGTGAGAAAAATTTAGTGAAAGATTCAAGAGGGCAAAACCAAGAAAAAACAAGAACAAATGCAAGAAAATATGAAATGGTATATACAAGGGTTGGTGTTTGGATACCTCAGTGCCCCCCAAAGAACTGGGAGGCTAGGTCGTGGTCTGGAGATGGGAGACGGCCATCAGGAGCACTCCATCAACTGGGGTTGTCTTGTGGCTCACTCGATCGAGCTTGCGGCTCCTCTTCCTCCTCTTCTTCATCTCAAAGTGTGTGTGGCTTCCTTGGCCTTGGTGGAGCATTGGTGCTCGAACTGTTAGGGGTCCATCTCTGGGAGAAGTCCTGGTAGGCTGGGATCGTACTCGAATCCAGGGTTCTCGAACTGGGGCTCCTCCAGGTCAACTCGACCCTCAGCTCGATCGAGTTGAGTTTCCTCTGTTTGGACTCGATCGAGTCCGGTGGTCGAGCTGGAGCGTCTGGCCTTGGAAGTCTTCCTCCTTCTCTGCGTGTTGTCTTCTCCTTCCCTTGGCTCGAAAGAAGAGGCTCTGTGAGGCTCTTGGGCAGGGAGCCTCCTTTGGAGTGGTGAGGAGTGACCTACTCCTAGGGAAAGTGGGGCCTTGGGTGCCTTCTTCTTCTTGCTTGAAGAACCAGAAACTTTCTTCTCCAAGCTCTTGATCTTGCTCACCATCTTGTCCATGGACTTTTGCATCTTTCCATGGCTTTCCCTTGCCACTTGTTGAACTTTTGGAGAAGTCCAATCCTCTTGTGGCAGCCACAACAGAGGGGTTCATCCTTGGAGCCTCATACTCCTCAAAGTAATAGCACTCAGGCTCACCCAATCACTCCTGCACTCATCTTCAGCTTGAGTCCTCAGCTCGATCCTCAGCTCGATCGAGCTCATCTCTTCTTCTGCAAATCCCTTCATGCCCAACTAAGTGTACACAGGGGGTCTGAAGTCAATGTTGTACCTCCTAGACCGTGGTGAGCTCAGGGTTGGGCAGAAGAAGCTTGGAGGGTCCAGCCAATGGATGTGTGAACTTGAATTGGAATCTCCCATCCAACTCCTTGTGCTCAATGAGGAGGTTGGTCTTGCAAAACTTGATGTCCATCCAACCTGGCTGGAGTAGACCTTCTCTTGTCCACTTGAACTCCTGCTGCACAAAGAATTGGTGTGATCACCCCTCCAACACTAAGCTTTCTTCCTCTTTGGTGCCTAGTGTTGTAAGCTGTGACCTTGTAGGCTTGGAGCTGCTCAAGGAGAGGCATGAGATTCCCTGCGTGTGCCCTGTCTCCTCTGATCTTCTTCCCATCCCTAGTTCGTGAGATGATAGGCTTGATTCCCATGGTAAGGAGCTTCACTTCTCCTTCATTGATTGTCCAGTGGCTTTCCTTGCAAAGAAGGTGTTGGCAAGAGCCTTGTGGACATATCTAAGCACAGGCTTCTGATCTGGGCAGCCTTGGACCTTGAGGAAGAGTACCCCTCTTCAGCTATTGTAGCCCATACTCTTTGGAGTTCTTCTTCCTTGATGTTCCATAGTTACCTTCTCCATAGGT